CCCTGTAGCACAGTTTCTTCCTTAGCCATTAACACAAGGTCATCTGCGTATTTCACAGTTTGAATAATTTGCCCTCCTAATTTGAAGTCTCCAAGCCCATCCAGAGCTTCTTTGGTAAGGCATTCGCTGTACAAGTTGAACAATATTGATGATAAACAGCATCCTTGTCGAACTCCTCTTCCAGTCTCCACACTTCTTGTCTCCCCTCTGTCCAGTCGTACTCTAACTTTCCGATCCATGTACAAATTGCTAATCAATCTTCTTTCACGCCAATCGATACCTGTTTCCTTTAGGATCTGCATTAATTTGGTCTAATTTACACAGTAAAATGCCTTCTGTCAGTCTATAAAGCAAACACACAGTTCTTCATCTATCTCCAAAGTTCGTTCTGCTATAATTCTCATCATCCCAATTGCATCCCTGGTTCCTTTTCCTCTTCAAAATCCAAACTGATCCTCTCCAAGTATATCCTCTCTTTTCCTTTCACTTCTTCTTTTGAGTATCTTTAGTGTAGACTATTGCGTGGAATATTAGGATAATAAGTGAATAATGAATTTAAAAGGCTGTGGATGGAAGTGGTCATGGCCTACTTTGAGTAATGTCCCGACATCTGCCTGGAAGAACATGGGGACCTCTCGAATATAAAAGAGTGCTAACCACACAACCGCAACGATTTGCGCTTGTCGCCATATTGTCAGTTTCAGTTCTAAAGACTTATTTAATTATTAACTGATATTTTTCAAAAACCTATCGCTTTCAAGACTCTTGTTACATTCTTTCTCGTGTTCAACTGGCCTTTTACTTGCGATAAACGCATCCACTTGCTTACCCAGGCACCTGCCCATATGTTAGAGCCCATCTTGAAGATAGGGAGCGAGATGAGAAAGAATATACCAGCTACCAGCTGCACTATGCCAGCCCCCACATAGACCAGGTTCCAGAGCACATGGCACGCAGCACACACTCTACTGTGGGCGCACATCGGCGAGCCTGCTGAAACAAAATGCACAGCCGTCATTCTCATGGGAATTTAGAAAAAAAAACTCCATGGTTTTAGTCCGCAAGCGACCTATACCGACCGAGCGACCTCCACTTGTCGGCGTAATCTATGCTCTAGTGGTCAAATTTCCTGGCTACAGGTCCAGAGTTCCGGGTTCGATTCCCGTCGCTATCAGATTTTCTGAGAAGTAGTTGGTCAGGAACGGGGTTCACTCAGCCTCGTGAGGATAATTGAGGAGCTATTTCAAGGAAATAGAAAACCGAAATTAACGACTGTGGGGATTCGTTGCGCTGATCACGCAACACCCTCTATCCGCTAAAGTTGGGAATTTAGAGAGGCAGCGCTAATCCCTGTTCCTTGTCGCCATCTGCACTGCTATGAGGAAAGGATTCCTCAGCATTCATACCCTACTCTTCACGGACGTCGAAGAATCTGCTAAGTGAAAGAAGACAGATCTCTCTATTTTTTACCGGAATTGGACGAATGATGTTTGTAACTAGTCCTGTCTGCGGACCCTACCACAAGGGGAACTAGCTTAACGAAAGATTCTTCAGCATTCGTTCCCTGCTCTTTGCACATCCGCCAATCTGTTGCGAGAGGCTGCACTTGGGTAAGGAAATGATTTCTCAGCACTCACTCCCTGCTCTTTGCACATCCGCGAATCTGTTGAGAGAGGATATGGAACCGATATTTCCAAGAGGCTTGCAGGATATTAACTGCCAGTTCCAATTCTTGCTACGAGCTATAGGCTGCACTCGGGTAAGGAAAGGATTTCTCAGCACTCATTTCCTGCTGTTTGCGTACATCGGCAAGATTGCTTACATCTACATATTTTCACGGTGTAGTAATTAATTAATTTATCAGCTCAATGTTCCAGAGGGATCGGATCGGAATTTCTGTCCCGATATCACCAACACTGTTTCGTGGTTTTCTTTTGTATCTCCAAGAAAATGACCGGTATACGATCATCTTCAAAAACCACGAAACGTACTTCCCATCTCATCACTCACAATCACCCTCTCGTATGTCGGCATAGTTTGTGCAGTTGGAAACGCGTCTTAAAATAACCAAATGGGAAATATCTGATCGATTTCCTCTGAAGTAGGGCCAATGTAATGCCATAAAACAACAATTTTATATAATGGAGAGAGGTTAGAGAAAATTGCATATCGAGGAGTTCTGAAAGTTGTATTATTGACCCAAACTTACATAAGCTGACGTTATGGGCCGGTCATATAGGAAGTATGTGGAAGCAAGAAATTCGTCGGCACTTCTTCATAGAAGAGGCTTACGTGGAGGAAAGAGACAATTTGGGGGACAACGTTATGGACGGTAAAATGATTACATTGCAGTAGATTGTAGAAGAATTGGTCATGATGTTGTGAACTGAACTGAGCTGATTCAGAATTGCCTTCGGTGATAGACTTTATGGTCATTTCTTTGTTAGAAGCTGGAAGTTTCTCGACTATTTTAATAATTTTCGACTGGTAATAAAAAAAACATTTGCCTCTGTGTAAATAGAACTTGGGAATAATTCGTAAATTATTTTCACTCAAATGTTTCGAGGCGTATAGACAGGCAGCAGGAATTGCAGTTAATTTCGCTAAATTGTCTAGCTATTCCGAGCATAATTTTCGCTCGAAAATGATAAAACGGCAAGTTGCAAATATGCACAGTAGATACAGGAGTTGAAGAGGTCTGTCTTCTGGGATATAACGCCGTGTAGTAGGGTAAAATTTAAATTTCGCTTCGGAGAAATATTCCGCCTCCATCTTCAGGTCGAAGCAAGCTCTGCTTGCCGCCTTTATTTTATTGGCTTCCTGCTTGCCTTACTCTTCGACACTGAAGATGGAGACGATAGATTCCTCCAAAACGTCGGTTAATTTTATATACTAAAAGAAGTTGCATTGCATAGAACAGAATTATTCGTACTCACCGCTGAGAGAACCCAGAATCAACGATACAAGAGTTGCTGTTCCTCTGCAAGATAACATTTTAGAGCACTCGAACCTTGTTGAAGAGAATCGAAACTATTATTTATGCGTGTATGCTGTACCATTTAACTGATATTTGCTTGAAGATAAGAAACTGATTACAACAGTTATCTTACAAGGAACCAAACTATAATTCCATGGTACTATTTTTTGTTGCTAGTGGAGTGGGACTAAGTCCATTGTACTGCGGCCACTTCTGGCCTATTGTACCAGCTCCAGATGATAGGTGAGGGTGATTGTGGAGCAATTGGTGGAACGAAGATTGACGGGGGAAACCGAAGTACTCGGAGAAAACCTACTCCATCGACACTTTGTCCAACACAAATCCCACTTGACCAGACCCGGGATCGAACCCGGGCCGCCGCGATGAAAAGCCAGCGACTAACCGCTTGAGCTATGGCGCGGCCTTCCATGATACTAAGTGTGTCTTGTAAATCTAACATTCACTTAGCAAATCAAGAAATGCCCTAATAGAAACCTAAGATTCATTACTGTGTACACAAGAGCTCGCAGTTCTTCTGTCTTTAGCCATATTACTCCAGTCCATATCCTTAAACACTATGCTTCTAAATACATTTAAATATTATTCTCCTTTCTACGCCTAAATCTTACACGTTTTCTTTTTTTTCTTTCAAGTCTTCCAGTTACAGTTCTGTTTACATATCTCATCTCTCTCATGCGTACTACATGACCCTCCCATCTCACCCTCCTTGATTTGGTCTCTCTAATGCTATTTGGTAAGGCGTACAAATTGTAAAGCTCCTAATTATGCAGTTTTCAGCAGTCTCCTGTTACTTCCTCCCCATTGGCGTAATTGTGATCCTCGGAACCCTGTTCTCTAACACCCTCTTTCGAATACTACTTGAATAGTATTTACATAAACATGAGTATCTAAAGTTTAAGTTCGGCCACTAAATTCTTATTCATTCGCAAAACTGTGGTCTCTGCAACACTCTCTGTGTGTACAAAAGTAGACTGATGAATTCACTGAGGCTTTAATTTAAGCTGTTGACTCATTCAACAATGCACAATGCCCCATGGAAAGAAGGTTAAGTGACACATTTGACCTCTCATGCTACATCACATATGCTGGTTCTTCTGTAACCACGATCTAAAACCAAGAGCATAACTGTTTCCTTGGAAATTCTTCCGACACTATTGATCGTTTTCTCCTACGTTCCTAATACAGTCTCAAAATATCACTGTGTCAGTGTGCTTCTCTGTCTCTGAAGTAATATTTTAACAATTTAGCATGAGAGCTGTGCCACGACCATCCAATTTATGGACCTAAAATTGTGTATGTTCGTCAATATTTCATAATGCATACAGCACTTCTTGAAATCACTTTTGCATTAAAGAAAAATATCACGGTGTCAAGGCAAAACCTATATTTATTTTTTTGAATCAAAGTTTACTTATTTAACTATTTGCTTTGTCAGATTGAAATAAACTGACATAGAATTAGTTCAGAATTAGAAGCCTAAGGCATTAAAAGTGTGTGAAGTTGTGTCGTGTGCTGAAAACCACAAAAGCAACGGATATGAGAAACCTTCAGATTTAATGTCTTGATGTAAAAATGTAGTTTGAAAACACTAAAGGGAAGAACCATTTGTGAGAACGTTCCTTAAATGTTAGGATAATATTAAAGTGTATCAAAAATATGTACATTGTGAAGATGGATTGACCTGATTCAGAACATGGACCAGCGGCGGGCTCTAGCGAAAACAGCAGTGAAACTTCGGACTTCGTGACATACGGCAAATTTCTTTACCAGCTTAGCGACTACCATTTTCTGAAGGACTCCCACAGATACACACACGCATTGATAATATGGTGATCTAATGAGCCTACATTTCTTCCTCGAGGAAAGTAAGTATACTAACAGTGCGGGTAATTCATTTGACACGTACCAACAAGCTTAACTTGTTTGTTGTGATGATTCAGATTATGATTAAGTACGGTAAAAGAAGCAGGACGCGTGTATTGAAACGTCTCTACCGTAAAGCCAGCCTCACCTTTGCATGGTGTATTCCTATCTTATTATCATGAATGAGGCTTTGACGACAGAGGTTACGTACGATTTTGAGGAACTTTTTTTTTTCCTTGGCACTACAGCCCCAGTGGGCCTAGGCCTACCTCCATGAACTTCTCCGTTAGAGGAACTAGCACTAGTTAATAACCAATTCCAGAACATTACATCCAGCGAGGATAATCTGCCCTGCAATATTTTAAGCTAAGCTTTTTTATTCGGATTTGAATTTTTATTTGATCTGTACGTGTACTCACATTGACTATAAATTCATTTATCATTACAATATGCACCCAATTACTGCTTAAGCCAACTGTAACGATACCACGTGTTCAGCTTATCCGTTTGTGTTTGTGGGGTCCTTAGATCGAATCTGATGACAGGGATTTATTTATGTACGTTACCAGACTTTTTAGACTGATATTTCGTGAGAACCCTTACAGAAATATATTAAGTACCACATATTCTCACCTATATCTGTGTTTCTGTCGTCCTCCTAAAGAATGTCGGTCACTGGGGACGACGGACCATTCTTCCATCGGTCCCAGGACGCAGCATCCATCCGGAGTTCATCACTACATAACAAGGGTAAGTAGGTGACTGCTTTGGTTCGTCGGGCTGTGGGGAGGGGGTTGTGGAGAGGGGGATGAGGGGGAGGGCACCGCTTCGTATCGATCAGCCCAGGCGGTGGGTGAAGGACGAGTCCAGTGTGGTGAAGCAATAATTACAGACGAAAGCAATCGTGGTCGACTTGAGGGTAGAACGCTGCAGATTTGATAAAGCTACCCAGAGCCTGAGTATCATGCTATGTACACATTCAGGGTTGTTGGTAAACAAACAGGGAGCGAGGATGTGGATAGCTGATTCAGGGTAAGGGTCAAATGGCGGACTCTCGTTAACACAAAAAGGAACCTTCGTGTTACGTAAAAAATGGGGAAGGTCTTGACTGGCTGGGCGACTATTTAGTAGTAGTGACAAAAAAGTCACTTTCGTCCAGCCATTATCTTTACTTGGCTATCATGCCTTGTAGTGTGGTAGATGTTTACCTATTTTGCAGGAAAAGTACCCCCTCCATCTTCATGGTGAAGAGCCACTACCGTGAAGAGCGAGGCAATATATTCCTGTCCGATAGGTCAGTAACCACCTACCATAGCACGCAGCGTCATATTCAAGAAGACAGCAATTACAGCTATAAGCGCCTTAAACCTCAAACCTGAAACTTTGAATCTTAATTAACTTCTCCTGCAGTCCATGGTAACAGGGACATGATGGGCGATTTTCCCGCCTCCAAATATCATTGTACTCGCGTTATGATCAATTGGAAGCTTCAGTAATAGGCACGGACACAGTCGTTATTTTTTCTAAAAGGGGTAGCCAGAAAATTTGCTTGCAAACTTACGTTTAACTCCTTTAAGACTATTTTTAATAATCGTCCTAGAGCATTCAGGATAGAAAAATATTTTTAATGCTTTTAATATTATGTATATTTCCTTCTTTCTCAATTTCATTTTTTCCCCCAAAATTCCATGGGGACAGATGTGAGGCTCCCTTTCGCCGGGCCCATGTAGTATAGGCTTCAAGGGGGAATTACCCACCTTAGGGTGAAACGACACTTTCTAATGTGGAACAGGATGAAGCAGGAAGCAAAGTATTTTAACTTGGCTTTTAGAACTTCATTACCGCACACTTATTCTAGTATGTAGATGGGGAGTTATTGCAGTAGAACAAAAAAGTATATATATGCCTAACTCCGAGCTGGTTCTGGGTATTCAATACGTTACTCACCTACGCAAGAATATTAATTTTTGTTGTGGAAGTTGAAGATTGCTGTCACAAAAGAGTTCTTTTAACTCTGAATAACTTTACTCCAGTTCACACGATCAGAACTTAGTTCCATTATAGTCATTTAATGCTAACTCTCCAGCTCTATCTTGATCTTTAAACTGCTCACTCCCATGAGAAAAACACTGAAGAAAACACCACTCAAAAACGAAATTGTAAGGGCATTAAAGTATAGTTCCTCGTATTATTTACCTTGGCACTAGATGGGATCCAACTGAAAGTCCTGTTTGCATTAATTCTGGTTCGTTCATTTCGATTTCTTTGACTTAACTATCACAAGAATTCTAAGCAAAGTATAAATTTTGAAGATCTTTGTTATGTAAAACAGGGTCTAAGAATGTGGACTGGATTTATCTGGTTCAGAATAGGTTCAACGGTGGGTTGTTGTAAACAATAAACAGTCATATCCCATATAGGGCAGTTTGATGACTGAAGCAGCCAGGCATAAGTTCACAAAAAGGAAGATGCAAATCCTGGCATATCAGCAAGTCATTAGCAAAGTGATTCTTCTTCCTTTTTGTTTGGAAACATGAGGATGTTTCAGGATTATGAGGTTTGTTATAGTTGTGCAATTATTTTATTGACAATCAAGTTCCTTCCGTCAAATGTGACACTTTTATAAGTTTTCCACCTCGTCACCACCTGCCTTACATGTTTCGGCTCACCACGGAGCCATCATCAGAGGCATTTATAGTAGAAAAAGAAATCACCAACACACAAAACTTCACTTTGTTAAAAATAGCCACGTTCCAGTTAATTAAAATAATTACAATAGTTAAAATTGCCGAGAGTGTCGGTTCACTAAAGGTTTTCCACACACCACGGTAGCTTTCTTATTTAATTCGTCGTTAATTCTGTAAAAATTATGTTTCGTTATTTGAAGTAAGAATTCTTAAAATTCCTAGAATTCTTTCCCGCTTGGCCCAGTCTTTTTTCTTCGGGATGTTGTTGACGTGTGTTGTCTGTCGGTTGTTGATGTTGCTTGTCTGTGTGTTGCGATGCTTGTGTGCATTTAATCAGAAAGCTACCGTGGTGTGTGGAAAACCTTTAGTGAACCGACACTCTCGGCAATTTTAACTATTGTAATTATTTTAATTAACTGGAACGTGGCTATTTTTAACAAAGTGAAGTTTTGTGTGTTGGTGATTTCTTTTTCTACTATAAATGCCTCTGATGATGGCTCCGTGGTGAGCCGAAACATGTAAGGCAGGTGGTGACGAGGTGGAAAACTTATAAAAGTGTCACATTTGACGGAAGGAACTTGATTGTTAATTTGTTAGTGTGACGGACCAGAATGAAAGACCTTAAACTTATTTTATTGACTTTCATATATTATTAAATGCAATCTTAATCTTGTTAACAATAGTGTATTTCAGATTCTCCAGTCTTATCATACTAAAGACATTAATAAGAAATGAAAACATTAAATACAAGCATCTCTGATAGAAACAGAATTTTCTTTCAAATTTACCAACCATCAGCCTTCCTAATCACAAGTATTCCGTGTATGTTATAGCTCACAATGTCCATTGCATTTCAGTACGGGGGTGATGAATTGATGTAAATGAAATGTTCATACTTTAGAGGCACTGGTGAGAAATTTTCTCCTGATGAATAAGAGTGAGTTGATATAGAACGCAGTTCCAAAAAAAATTAAAACGGAATAGGAACCTCTGCAGTACAAGAGGTCAAGGTTGGAAAATTATTTATAGCTGCTCTTGTGAACTGGTGATTCTTTGCGAGGGGGCAGTAAACAAGGGTTGGTGGTATGATAGCATACCTTCTTGCCGACCGTGCTCTGGGCACTGGCGGCAGCCATTTTGATCCCATTGACTTGCCACCGAATATTGAGGCAGCAGTGATGCTTTCCTGACGTCACGGTGACTATGTTGTCCGCCAATAACATCGATTTGCCGATCAGTGGCATCAGTGGTGCACTGTCGTCTGTCGATGTTAGGAGTGGTTTGTAATTAGTGTTGTGTATGTTTCTTTTTTTTTTCAATTTGTACGTCAGGAAGGACATATAAGTAGAGGTTATTTGTTCGACACTACAGCAAAATGACGTGGGGATTTGTAACTTGTGGCCCTAATGAAGCATTGGTAGTTTCAGGTACTTATTTTTAAGTAATACGAGTTTGTTTGATCCTATTCCATGTACTTTCAGTGTCCTGTCATGTGCAATAATTTGAGAACATGGGCGACAAGTTATTATTTGCATGGTTGTTCGTAAAGATACCAATTTCTGTAAAAAAAGATTGAAAATATAGAATATTGTAACCTTTGAAGTTATTTGTTTTTGCCGTTGATAGTTATTACATTGGTTCCAAGCTCTAAGTACATATTTTTGTAGCAGTTAGTGCGATGGATTTCTAGGTTGGAAGGGACTGGTTCGCATGTTTCGAACTCAGAACCCGAAACAGAAATATTTCACGTCAAATTGGTAATTCTGTTAAACTGGACAACTGTAGCTTGTGACCCCAGGAACCCGACCATTTTCCTCAAAAGTGGGCATATTATTGCCAGTTATATTAGCATTTTTGGCTGACTTATTGCAAATATGGGTCTGTTATAGCTCAAGAGGTTTAGAAGCCTCTTCTCAACAGTTAACTGGATTCAGTCACAGATGACTTAACCTGAGACTAGTAGGCAAAGTAACACTGAGGCATAATTCCAGCCCCTCAGTTTGTTCGTTTTTCCCTGTTAATCATTCCATCATTGTTCTCAGCTCATCTATCACCAGGCCCTGAAATGTGTGATAGCCATTAGTGTGCAGTGCATTATCACACCTGTGGTCATTATGTTCTACCCTGGCACTTGGCGTGGTACTGAGTAAGGAAATCTTGTTGTGAATGTGCCAATTTTTACATTTATAACAAAGGGCTCCATTATTGTTTTAGGGTGCTGTTACAACAAGCCCTTACTGGTGCCTGGAGGCAGAGCCTTTGTATGGCCCACAATTCAGTGTGTGCAGAGGTAATACACAATTGTGTGCCATGATTGTAGCTTTGTAAATCTGGTCCAATGCAGTTTTATAAACTGGTTGCAAAATAGTTTACCAGTGTTTGTGCATTAGGGCCTGGATTTGATGCTTAGATTTAAAATATTAGCTGAGATGTATTTCACTTAAGTCTTCTAGGACTGTAAGGTGTGTAATTTCTTAGTAAAGCTGTGGTGTTTCTGTTGTATCTGCATCCATGATCTGGGTGGTAATGACTATTTTTTCCCTCCCTGAAAAGAATTTCTCTCAACACGATGACCCTTCAGGTAGAGAGTCCCACAGTCTACACCAGCCAGGGGGTTCCAATATCAGTGACTGGCATTGCACAGGTAAGAGATTATTATTCATTAACTGTAAAAATTCTGTCAGTATTGGATTTTGAATCTAGTTCGGATCGGAGTAACAGTGTATACCATTACCAAAATTTTGTGCCATTTTGGTTGGAATGTTGAAGAAGCAAAAGACAGTTTTGATCTATTCTTCGATGCATAATGTTATCTCATGTATCAGATCCGTATTGTTTATTCCTGAAACTAGACAGGCTTTTATGATATTACTAATTTTCGCTAACACATCTGAAGGAAATTTAATTTTAGCTTGTATTGGTCCAGTAAGAACTCTCATTCTCTTTGCCATACTTGGGCTATGCTTAGTATCATACATGTTGAAAAAAAGGCATGTTACCAAAAAATAAAATGTATATTGGCTTCACTTTGTTTCAGGTGAAAATCCAGGGTCAGAATGAGGAAATGCTGCTTGCTGCTTGTGAGCAGTTTCTGGGGAAGCAGGAAAGTGAAATCCAGCACATAGCACTGGTCACACTGGAAGGACATCAGAGGGCCATCATGGGAAGCATGACAGTTGAGGTTAGTGCATAATTTCCAACGAGCTGTTTCTTAGAGGAGCTGTCTATTACATACTTGTATATAAATCTTGCAGCACTGAAAATGAAGGGGCTGACCTTTTTTTGGTCTTATTTGTTATATAAAGGATTCTTACATAAATATAATATCAAGCTTTTTAGGCACTAGAATATCCGACTTAATACTTTTGAGTATATATCATGAAAATACAGTGAACAATAAGCTTTTCTCACAGCGTTGTGGCATGATTAACTAATCTATCATCGGACCTATGTAGTTATGTTGTGAAGTAAAACCAAATATTTTTTGTTATGTTTGGATATGCTTTCATATTTATGCATTTAATTTCTGTTATGTTTGTAGTGCTGTAATATTGATAATGAGATGGAAATTGTGTGACAAGTTTGCTGGTAGGTGTGATGTGGGTGCAGGATTTCCCATTTCCTCCAGACAAATGCCATGACTGTTTCTTTCCACATCCTTACCAATTCATTTATCATTATCACCTGACCATTCAACACTTTATAATCTGAACTACTGACAGTGTCATAAAATAAATCATAAATAGTTAATACTGTCTATTGTACCACATAGTCTGTTAACAATGCAATGAATTGTTCCTTCTTTCTTACATTTTCACAACTTACACTTTCACCACAACATGTTTCGGCCCAAAATGGCCATCATCAGGTGTCTTACTATGCTGAAACTGCTACACTGCACTACTGTTGTCCATTCGTCGCATATGTGACTGCACGCTTCATGGTTTAAAACTTCATACTTGCAGTCAATTGGTATGCACTAAAATAGCACATGCTGTAGTTCACTTAATTTAAATCAATGACATCTATTAAAATTTTGTATTAAAATTTCCTTTGCATTTTGTAAAATTGAGATTACACCTCACAAGGGGCATTGTGCACTTCTTTCGATCTGTATCCTTTGTTTTAGATGTGTTATTGTAGCAGCCTGTTTTTCTTTTTGTAAGCCCGTTGTTGTGTTACATCTGCAACCTGTAATTTTGCCCCTTGCTTGTGCATTGTTCCCTCTAGCAACGTGTGGTGTTTTCTTCAGTCTGCAGTGTAGCAGTTTTAGCATAGTAAGACACCTGAAGATGGCCATTTAGGGCTGAAACATGTGTCAAAAGTGAAAGTGTAAGAAAGAAGGAACAATTTCTTGCATTGTTGACAGACTGTGTAGTACAATAAACAGTATTAGATATAGTAATGCAACGGGATGCTTAAATAGAAGATTATAAATAAAGAAATTAAGATCTGCAGTTGATCCAGTGTTATTAAATGACACATGAATCAGTTCTCCAATAGAGTGCCCAGCTTACTCTCCTTCATTTTAATTTATCTAAATGCATTCTGTTGTATCTAGCTGGAACTTTGGTAGGACTGCAGAATCTTCACATTTCCTTCAGAATGTTTTGTAACATTACCTCCTTAATATTGTTATTGAATTCTGTTTAGGAAATCTACAAAGACAGGAAGAAGTTCAGCAAACAGGTGTTTGAGGTTGCATCATCTGATCTGGTGAATATGGGTATCACTGTTGTCTCATACACATTGAAAGATATCAGAGATGAAGAGGTGAGTGTGAGCGTGAGTGTACAACCTGTAGGATAAGCGTGCCATAGTAGATCTTGCATGGTTGTGTTCGTAAAGTTGTGCATATAGCAAAGAAAAGGTGATCATATACATTTCTTTCAGCTTTTATTTAATATAATTTTAAGATGCTCTTATTTTTTATTTGTACTATATGGGCTCAGCAGCTTGAAGCATTTTTTGATAGTTAGGAACATTTAAAACTTTCCATAGGCACATATGTACACCCATTCTTCAGAGGATGAAGCATTGTTAGTTAACCCTTTTACTGTCTTTTTTTCAGGAACCATAAGTTCTTCCACTTAGTCTTTCTTACGTCATTGTCATATTTGGTGTTAATTTTTTTTATGGGATTCTGTCTATTTTAGCAGTAAAATGTCTGCCACCTTTTCAACTTTTATTCTTTTAAACTGGCACCACACTTCAGAACACTGATAAAGCAAAGTTAACACAAAAAAAACAAAAGTAAACAAACTGGCAGTGAATATACAGCAGGTCCATAAAGTCTCCATCTGTTACGATACCAGGCAAATGACAAATTGGTAGTTAGTATGATCAGGATTGTGAAACTTTCAAACACTTCTCTGGTTTCTCCTTTGGATTCCAATTTGTGCTGTTGTCAGTTATTTCTTGTACAGCCGGCATGTAAGACTGACAATCTTACTACCATCTGTGAGCCGATTGTCTCGATAATGTGGGACCCTCAACATCTCACAACCCTATTGAATTGAATTGAATTGAATTTATTTACATTCTATGAATCCTAAGTAGGTTAGTACCTTTGGATACAGAACAAGTCAAAAGGTTACATACATAAGTACAGGCAATTTTAGCTTAAAAATTAATATAACTTAATTTTACATCATTCTCTATTTACATTGAAGTATTCATCTAAAGAGTAGAAGGAATGAGCATGTAGATAATTCTTTAACTCTGATTTAAACTTTTTAGTATCATTGCCCAAGTTTTTAATACTTTGTGGCAGATTGTTGAACACTTTTATGCCAGTAAAGTAGACTCCTTTTTGATATACTGATAAAGTTGATGAGGGTAGGTGGAAGTTATATTTTTGTCTAGTATTCATGTTATAGACATCAGAATTTAATTTGAATTTATCTTTGTTGTAAACAACAAATAAGAGAAGCGATAATATGTATTGCGATTGAAGAGGTAGAATTTTTAATTTCTTAAATAATTCTCTACATGAATCTCTACTTCTACATCCTGTAATGATTCTAATTATATTCTTTTGTATTTTAAAAATTATTACACTATGTGAAGAGTTCCCCCAAAATATTAATCCATAGTTCATAATAGAATGAAAGTAGGCATGGTAAACCATCTTCAATGTTTCCTGTGACATAAAAGGCTTAATTGATCTCATCGCATAGCAAGCTGCATTTAATTTAGGTATAATTTGTTCAATATGTATTTTCCAAGACAGTGTACTGTCTACATGTATTCCAAGGAATTTTGTATCAAGTACTTTACAGATTAATTTGTTGGCATAACTGATGTCCAGATCAATTTGGTGGTTGTTTTTAGTTGTGAATGATATGTAATGGGTTTTATCAAAATTTAATGAGAGTAAATTGGCTTCGAACCATCTGTTTAAGGCTTCAAATACAATATTTATGTCATTTTTAAAGTTTTCAAATTTAGAGTTCTTAAATATTATACTAGTGTCATCTGCATATAGAATTGGTTTAGATTTATTGTTGATGGTTTTAGATAGATCATTTATGTAGAGAAGAAAAAGTAAGGGACCTAAAATTGATCCTTGTGGAACACCGTGCTTTATAATTCCCCAGTTTGAAAATGCATTATGACTGGAGTTTTTATTATTTATTTCAACTCTTTGATACCTGTTTTTGAGGTATGATTTGATCCATTCATTAGCTTTGCCAGTTATTCCATAGAAATTTAATTTCGATAGTAAGATATCATGATTAACACAATCGAAAGCTTTTGCTAGATCACAGAAAATCCCTCCCACAATTAATCTGTCATTGAGAGCACTTAAAATATCGTTAGTTAGTTCATAGGTTGCTTTTTCTGTTGTTAGGTCTTTCCTAAATCCAAATTGCTCTTTGACTAATATGTTGTTAGAATTTAAGTGTTCAAGTAGTCTATTATACATAACTTTTTCAAAGACTTTTGAGAATGAAGTCAATATGGATATTGGTCTGTAATTAGAGATGCATTTTCTCTCTCCTTTTTTAAAAAGTGGTTTCATTACAGCGTATTTTAAGCGTTGAGGAAAAGTACCTGATGATAAAGATTTATTACATAGATGATTCAAGGGTGAACTGATGTAAACAGAGCTTGCTTTAAGTAATTTGGTAGAGATTTCATCATATCCATGTGAATTTTTGGGCTTAAGGGATTTAATAATGTTTTCAATTTCCTTCCTTGTTGAGAATTTGAGATTGATATTTGGAAATGAATTGTTAAAGGCACGAGACAGATAGTATATTGGATTATTATTATTATTATTATTATTATTATTATTATTATTATTGGAATATGTTTTCTCAGCTAATGAAAGGAAATATTCATTAAATGCACTTGCGATAGCTTGTGGATTGTTAGTGGACTTCCCTTCAATATTCAAACTTTGTACGTCTTCATTAACAGATTTCTTTCCTGATTCAACTTTCACAATATCCCAGGTGGTTTTAATTTTATTGTTTGATTTTAGAATTTGGCTGTTATAGTTATTCTGTTTGGCTTCTTTAATGACTTTTGACAAAATTTTACAGTACATTTTGTAGTGACTTTTTAGTCTTGGATCATTACTGTCCCTACTGGCCAAATATAGTTGTCTTTTGTGTTTACATGAAGTTTTTATTCCAATTGTTATCCAGGTGGATTTGTTTTTATTTTCATTTTTGACTATTTTTAAGGGAAAGCTTGAATAAAAGATCCTCAAGTATGTGTTCAGAAAGCAATTAAATTTAGAATCAATATTATTGCTGTCAAATACATTGTCCCATGATTCATTACTTAATTTTGTGACAAAATCTGCCATCGTATGCTTGTTGATTTTCCTTACTGTTTGATATTGTTGATTACTGGGCTGAAGGTCAATATTATTTATTTCTATGAGTTGAGCATCATGATCGGATAAGCCATTTATAAAGGGTCCTACAGTATAGTCTCTTAATTTTGAGTTATCAATGAATATATTATCTATCGCTGAACTAGAATTATTTTGAACTCTTGTGGGAAAGTTAACAGTACTGGAGAGATTGTAAGATGATAACAAAGAGTCTAAATTTAGTTTCCTATTACTGTCAATGAGATAGTTTACATTTATATCACCACAAATTATAAATTCAACTTTTGAACTATGCAGTACATTTAGGATGGTTTCTAATCTATTTAAAAAGTGATTGAAGTTTCCAGATGGGGCTCTATATAAAGTCAGTATACAAATATTTGAAAAAGGAGAGTCTAACTTTAGAGCACATGCTTCCAGATCCTGGTCTTTGCAATAATCTTCTAAATTTATTTTAGTAAATTTTAGGTTTTCGTGTACAAAAATACTCACTCCTCCTTTCTCCAGTGTTTTCCTACAGTATCTAGCACCTAAATTATAATTTTCTAAGTGAAGATGTTCTAATTCCAGCTGTTTCATGTGATGTTCAGTAAGGCACAGTATGTGTGGAAGATTTGAATTCATGGAGCTTATTAGTTCATTTGTTTTGTTTCTCAATCCTCTTATATTCTGATGGAATATTCTTAGTACTTTATTATTCACTGAATTTAGTAGACTGCAATTACCTTTTCCGATTTCTATTGGTTCACTAACATTATTGTCTGAAAGATTAGTTTCTTTTGCAATTTCTTTTACTTGATAAACTTTACTTGCACTCTTTATCCTAAAAAATGATTCTGAACACCCATGACAACTGGAATGTGTCTGCCCTTAATGCTCTCTGCAATGAGTCGCGTCAGCTTGTCCTTGCCTCGAGGATTAAGATGCAAACCATGGACAGTATGTTCGCTCCTCAATATTGAAGAGACATCAATCGCATCAATGTGGGCCGCGCCGACCTCCACAAGCGAACGCTCAAGCCGAAGATTAATCTCCCTTACACACCTGTTAATCCATGGCTTGTCATGTCGCCAGAAAAGACCAACAAACCTCACATTGGTGTGACTAGTTTTCTGGGCAATGTCACTTAAATCTTTCTCAATTTGATAATTGAGGTTTCTCTCCAAACTGTTACCTGGCCCCCCAACTATAACTACCTGATCTTCTTTACTAAAACCTTTGCACAATTTTCCAATGTCCCCAGTGACATTGCTCAGATCAGCATTGGGCTTGAATATGCTGGTCACAGCATATGCATCTCCCATTGCTTTCTGTAGCCTCTGCCCGATACCCCTACCATGACTGCTACCCAGCACTAGAATCTTACGCTTAGGCTTAGCCTCTAACACAGGCTGATCTATAGCGTCACCATCAGTCTGAGGCCCTAGCATAGCTAGAGGTTCAAATCGATTGGTTAAAGCTAACTTAACATCTAGTGAAGAAGGAACTTTTTTAAGTTTTCTTCGGGAGTTGGACACAGTCCTAAATTCTTCAGGACAATTATCTACTAAATTTAATTCCCCTTTTAAGAGGTCAATCTCAGTTCTTGCAAGTTCCAGCTCCCTTTTCAAACTCAAGATAGTCTCCTCTTGTTTCTTTATTACCTTGGCTTGCACACAGGAGTTGCAGTACCAAGGTAATATGGCCAAATCACTATTGGTGCCAGAACACTCCCAATGAAACCACAGGCCACAGTCCTCACATCCTGTCCCCTGGCTAACCTTCCTTCTGCAGGCCCCACATTTACCTGATAAGCCGTTACCCCTTGTGGCCATTATTACCACTTATGTTAACTTATAATTCAGTACTAACTAACAGATATATTTAGAGAGTCTAATATGTGATTAGGACTTACAAGAGTATATGCTGGCACAAATCTTTTAAGGCCCACTATATACAGTGATACACTTATTTTAGGTTAGGCCCACTTGTACACTTGCAATAGTACAAATCAACTTACTAAAGATATAAAATAACACACTTCTTGTAGGTTAGGCCTACTGTACACTTACGAAAATACAAACAACAGGCCTTCACGGCCTGTTACAGGGATAGCTATACTTTCTTACTTACTTTACATTCAGTGTTAGTGGTGTATGAAAAAAGTAAATAAGGAGTTACTCTTCTACCAATAAATCAGAGACTTTATGGGCAGTTATCATGTTAGACAAATATCCAGATACGAAATTACTTAAAGTTGACTGTGGAAGGGTTAATGAATGATTCACTGGTTTGATATGTGTTACTGGTAGATAGATTATCCTCTGTGCAGAACTCTGCCCCAAGTTACAAATTTTATACTGATCAATTATGATATTTGGTAGTATTAATGTTAGTGGTCTGATTATTATATTGATATGATGAAATGACTTGCATTTTCAGAAACCATTAAAATGGAAAAGATTGAATGTCTAAAGATTTTAATAAATGGTAATTGTAAGGTGACAGCTTAGTTACTAATCAAAAACTATCACTTTATAATCAGGCCCCTATGGTAATTGTCTACTCTGTTTTGTTGCCATGTAATTTTCCAGCAGGTATTTTAGACTACAGGGGGGCAGTTGGTAAGTACTGACAACATGAAAGGCAATAAAAACGTGATGTAACAAAGACTGTACCATCTTAATTTCATTTTTATGGGTAACTGTGTTCCCAAATAGGACCGTTGAGGTGGAAGGCACATAATTTTAATTTTAACATACACTGCTAGGTAAAGAGTCCAGTGATTAGCTGATGAACAGTGGCTTTTCAGGCTGGAACAGTGTCTTGAAATGACCTGTGGCTACTACTTCCATCAGTCTTTCTGGTTTACTTCAAATCACTGCCTTGTCTTCTCATCAACTAATAAGTGACATCTGCAGTTGATATACCATCATTAAGTAACCTACCACCCACTCAATTAACCAGCCATAGAAAAATCCTTCTCATCCACATTGGGTCATATCTATAAAATGGGACACGGGAACCCAATTAATTTAATTAAAAACAGTGGAGGAACTGTTTTGGAAGAGACTGTGGACCTGTCATCTGACAGATTACTGATGAATGAATGAATGTATGTATGCAGCACTGGTCACGGCAGCCGAGCGGTCTAAGGCATGCACTGTCTTCGCTCACTTGGAAGCCGAGATCATGGGTTCGAATCCCACTCAGGGCATGGATGTTTGTGTGCGTTTTTCTGTGTTTGTCTACAGGTAGAAGCCTTGCGACGAGCTGATCACCCACCCAAGGAGTCCTACTGTATGTGTAAGATCTAGAAAAACCGAAATGAACAGAGTTCATGGAGGTAGGCCTAGGCCCACTGGGGCTGTAGTGCCAAGGGGGGGGATGTATGCAGTACAAATTATTAAATAATTCAACAGAAATGGTACATGTTCTGCTCCTTGCAGTATGTTCCTTGGTACCAAACATTTTAAATACATTAGGAAGTCAGTGTAAGCTAGTTAATGATAATATCTTCAAGTGTAATTTACTGGCTTTTTGTTATGCTTCGAGGGGGCAAAGGTATGTGTTGAATCTACTATCTGATCTGGACTGTGGCATGCGTAGTAGTGGATTAGCTGCTTATTTTGTTGGAGTTACCAACCCATTGTATGTATGTGTATGTATGAGGTGCACAGGCACACATGGTACACATTTCTGCATACTTTCTTTTTGCTCCAATATGTCCACCAGTTTCTCAGAAAAATGTATCATCCATCTCCTAGACCCCTTTCTTTGTGTACAGAGTGATTAAGATGTTGAAATGCATTCTCTTGAACTAATTTTCTCATTAAAGTGTGCGAAATGAATTAATGTGCATTTTTCTTACTTGTGAGAAGTGTCAGGCATGACGCCTGGAGATCTGTACATGTTGTGTCTTCTTCAGCGGCAGAGAGGACTGTTTGCACAAGTATATCATGTCAAGGGGGCATGCAGCAGCATAGTTGGTTGGGGCACTATGCTACAAGCTAGAAGGTTGGAAGTTCGATTCCTGGTGAGGTCATCCACACAATAGCGCTGAGATTGACTCAGCATCTAACAGAAATGAGTACCAGCAAAGGGTGGGCGGCCGACGGCATGTAAGGCTGACAACCTCACTGCCATCCGTGAGCCAATTATCAAAAAATGTGGGATGATTACTTCAAGCATTGTTTTTACACAGAATGCAGATAGATATTTCCAAATTGGCCACTTACAAATAAATTAAGTAATCATTGATTACTTTTGTATTTCATCAGTGATAATAACTGAACAAAATGAATTTGTGCGCTAAAACAGAAATATTGACTGTATGTATGTACATACATACATTTAAAATGGAAAATACAGGTTAAACTGGAGTATTTGATAACAAAACGTTCTGTCACGTGCTGCATTGATTTTAATCACTCATTAGTATCCTACACACCTTCATCCTACTTTTCTGATCCTGCATATTCCCAAGTTATAGGGTTTATGGGATAGTTTTGGTCTTTGAAATTTTTTAGTAATTCTGCTCAAGTAACTAATATATCATGGTTTACAATGCTGGGTACAGAGAAAACCATCACCATCATTCTTCAAGCTCTTGCATTCAAATTTAATTTTCTTTATTCTTCCATCAAACCAAAGCATAGATGGGACTATAATTTTAAAATAGAATATAAAGAAATAGGGTAGGAGGGAGTTATCTGAATTTATCTGGCTCATGATAGAGACCAGTGTCAGGCTCTTGTAAATATGGTAATTAACTTTTGGGTTTCAAATTGGGAATTTCTTGATAGATGAATGGCTGTTAACTACTCAAAAAGGATTTTTATCTGTAAAGTTGGTTCTTTACATACCTGAATTGTGCTGCATTACTTTCTGAAATTCTTGGTTTATAACTTAAGGTGTTATAATTTCTTATCTTCATTGGTTGCATCCTGTTGTGTGTTCCAGATATATATAGGAATTAGGTTAACTGTCAACACAACAAATATACTTGCTTTTTAATGTTTTAGAATTTGACTTTTTATTCCTGCTACATGTTTCAGTCGTATAAGACCGTCATCAGGAAGTTATATGATATATATATATATGATACATATAGTTATTGAACTACAATATTGGCAGAATGTTTTCTATTTTCTGGAATACTGGACAATGGAAAAAGTCCAAAAACCCAGTGATTCTGTATGATAACATATAATATTAAAAAAAAAAGTCAGGTTTCAGTGAGCTTTTCCAGATAAGCACTTTTTATGAAAATTATGACAGTTATTGACATTAAGACTGTTGTCAGATCCATCTTCCATCCGAATTAGTACTAGCTGCAACCAGTGTGTACATTGCTCTCTCTGTTGGCACAATGTGTAACCATAATCTCACAGATTTATGCCTAACAAAACCTGTGGTATATAAACATGAATAATCATTTGTGGACCACTGAATATTTGCCTGGTTGCCTCATATTCAGTATATTATTTATTGTTTCCCACTAGCTGCTTTCAGAGTCTGCTTTATAGCTTTAAATTCTTGCACATTTATTGCATTTCAGGGCCTGCTCTTAGTAGGAAATTGTACTGTAGGAATGCTCCACATGAACTGATACATATCCCAGTTGCATGTATTAAGTAAATTGGACCAAAAAAAGAGAGCATGATGTAGGAATATGTTGTAATGTCGCTTCCTCGTCTTTCACAATTTTTGTGTTATCACTTTTTCATTAATTTTTGGGCTGGCATTATAATCATATTTTGAAATACATATATGAAGGAAATTTAACAACTTGGATTTCCTGTAGGGTTACTTGAAAAGTTTGGGAATGGCAAGAACTGCAGAGGTGAAGCGTGATGCCCGGATTGGAGAAGCTGAAGCAAGGCGTGATGCCCAGATTAAGGAAGCAATCGCTGAGGAAGAGCGCATGGCTGCAAGGTAAACTTAGATATCAGTGACTAGACATGAGGTTTGGATTGATAATTAGATTTATTTAACTCATAGATTATAACTACAAGTATTTATAATTCTCTCACTAATTCACACACTAGACTTCTCACTACAATACTCACTGAGTTTTCTGTGTCTTCACTAGCCGTTGCTTGGTAACAGATCCCAACGATGCCCTCTTCTGCTCATGTCATTGCTAGCTGGCAAGTATGATGCACCTAACCCATTGCATCAAAATCAAAGTCAGTGTTATGATATGACTGATGGTCAGTCTGTCTTGGTGTCAAGGCCAATCTTGGGCCCAAGACCAAATTTTTGGTACTGTCAGACAGTTGCGGGTTTGTTGATGTGGGACCCCCTTCCTGATGAGAAGAGTGGTCTGTCATTTAAAATTGCTGCTGGTCCTCAACAGTGCAGTCATTCTTGGGTCCAAATCCTGTGTGACTCATGACAATATTTACTGTATCAGATTTGAGACTCTCCCAACCTGGAGGGCCAGGTCTCTGTATTTATCCCCAAGGAACAGGATTCCCTTTTCATCGCCTCCTATGACTTGCAGGGCTACAGTGGAGGTATTTGAACCCACCTCTACATGGTGGCATTCCACTGAACCCTTGCAATAATAGTCCTTATATAACATCCTCCCTGATGAGAAAATGGGTTTGTCTTTTATGAATCTGTTTGGCCTTTCATCAAGTGTACATTTCACACACATATGTATCCTGTTACTGAAAATTCTTCCTTTTGCACTACTCGCAAGTCCTCTGTCAGTACATGCTTTACAGAGCATATCATGCCTAACTTATGTATCTTATGCTTGACCACTGCCAAATTTAAGCCTCTTATATTTTCTCTGTGTGGCTTCACCTTGTCCTATACTGTGAACATGTTCATTCTCATGATTTTGTATGAATTCTGCTTGTAGCCTGCACAATTTTGTTATATAATCATATACATAAGAAAGGTTGAAAGCTGTGCAAGTTGTGGACTGGTGTGCACCTTGAAAAATTTCTAGTGGTGCGCTAAACCTTGTTTTCCATGCACTTCAATTTTAAGATGCAGGTGCATGCCGCTAATTCCCAGGCAGGAGAAGCCTAAGTCATTACTGATCTGATCAGTGCATTATAGAGTGTTAGTTTAATGTTTGCACTTAAACGCTTGCTTCTGACGCATTTGTTACTGTGGAGAGGGGTTTAATATCCGTATCCTAGCAACGGCCGTCTCTTTTCGCTCCATTGTTCTGGCTTCAGCCCTCATGTTGCAGCATGTTTGGGCCTGTTTCTGATCTCCATTATGAGAGAGAATGTATTTTCTGCTGCTGTTTTCTCACAGTTCTCACATTTCCCTTTTAAAATAATTTAGAGGCACATTATGGAATTCAAACTTAGAGACAGAAGGGGTTTCATTGCATGGAGAAGCAGTGTCTGTGTTACAGATAGGACTACTCAGACAAATATGTGGAGTTCTAAAGTTCTTGTGAAATATAATAAATATGTTAGATACAAATTAAATACTCAAGGTAAAAGTATATGTGTCATTATAAAACATTACATAATATCGAAATTGTAGCGGTACTAGCAGGTAGCTAGCTTAAGGTGTGCTGATGTACACATTTCATTGTTAATGATTTATTCTTTGTTTTTGTCAGGTTTTTGAATGATACAGAAATTGCCAAAGCGCAGAGAGACTTTGAGCTGAAGAAAGCAGCTTATGATGTGGAGGTTCAGACAAAGGTAAGCTTCATAACACGTGTATGTATGTGGATGTAGTACAGCTGAACATGTTTAAATTCACTGTCAGAATCTCAAAATGTTTTGCAGAATTTGGCATTTGTATGTAAAGTTTATGTGACAGTGAATATGTCTCTTATGTGTGTCAGCGGAGATCACTTTGGCAACACAAATAGATTGTAATGGAGTCTTTATGTTAAATATATATAATCGTTTTTCATGAGGAAGGGTGGACAGTTGACAGAAGGTAAGATAATACGTCCTAATAGTCCATAGCACAAGCAAGACTATTTCATGTAAATGAACATTATTAAAGTAAGGTCCTACAGCTTTTGCTAGTTTGAGTATGATTATTGGTATACTTTTGAGATGGAAGTGGTTGTAAGAACTTGTATATCTAAAACTGCTGGACTTCAAGGGAAGTCAATTGAATTTATAGTTGGTTCTGAATGTGGCTCAACCATCATTGCTTTGCAGAAGGCAGAGGCTGAGTTGGCATATGAACTGCAAGCTGCCAAGACAAAGCAGCGCATCAAGGAGGAGCAAATGCAGATCCTGGTTGTGGAGCGAAGCCAGGAGATTGCTGTGCAGGATCAGGAGATACAGCGCCGAGAGAGGGAGTTGGAGGCCACCATTAGGCGACCTGCAGAAGCAGAGAAATACAAGTATGACGAATGAAGTACAGCAGAAAATGCCTGTGCTAATTAACATCATCACTTGTTGTTTCTCTGAGTTATGTAATTGTTTAAATGAAATGGGAATGTAATCTCAACGCATCGCGAGTGTTACAGCTTTATATTATGGGCTGAATTATGACAGCCCTTTGATTTTTCCCATCTTCCAAACCTTAATATATACATTTGTTTTCAGACTGGAGAAGTTGGCAGAAGCCAACAGGAACAGGGTGATCCTAGAAGCTGAGGCAGAGGCAGAAGCACTACGAGTACGGGGAGAAGCAGAGGCATTTGCTGTTGAGGCAAAGGCCCGAGCAGAAGCAGAGCAGATGGCTAAGAAGGCAGATGCTTGGAAGGACTACAAGGAGGCTGCCATGGTTGATATGCTTCTTGACACTTTACCGAAGGTATGGTGTTCACTCTTAGTGGAAAAATTAATATTCTGTATCTGATGAGGTGGGTGGAAGGGAGGATTAGGAAGAAGCTAGGAATGTTGGCTGTGAACCTGAGGATGTGAGCAGTAGATGGGAAATGTAAACACACTGAAACTGACATAGGTGATAAGAATGATGAATAGGGTTTGATGGGTGAAGATGAATAAACGCTAATGACTTCAGAGAGGAAGTGAACTCACTAAATAATATGTATGATGCTTTTAATATTTTTCCTATCCATGTTTTTAGAAGAATGGGAAATTAATTTATAAAATTACTTTTCTCTGTAGTAGCCGGGATAGCACAGTTGGTATAGTGACTGGCTATGGACTGGATGACTGAGGGGTCAGAGTTCAAGTCCCACTAAGGTCAAGAATTTTCTCTTCTCCATGTCATCCAGACTTGCTCTGGGTCCATGCAAACTCATATCCAATGAGTACTAGGGGCTCTTTCCTCGGGGGTAAAGCGGCCGGGGCGTGAAGCTGACCATTCACCTCCAACTAGTGCCAAGGACAAGAAAATGTTTGTCTGTACATCCACTCCCCAGTACGGCTTCATGGTATGGTGCTTAATCATTGAAGCACAGGGACAGCTTTACCTTATTTTTTCTATGTAGACATAGTTCCTAGAGCAGCATTGTCTGACTTTCAGAACCATCTTCCATTCATCAAATACTGTAGCATAAGAAAAAAGTGGCTAGTGTTATAAATTATTAAGTGAAAACATTTCTGCTAGAAAAACTCTTGTTCTTGTCCTAATTTTCATCGCACACTGGAAAAATCATTCTTGCACTTGCCTAGTATTAGGGAAATAGGCTTGAGGATTCAAAGTTAAAAGTGAACTATCTAAGTGTAATATCCGATGGTGTAGGAGCTTATAATTAATATCAGTTAGCTAATTAGCAGTGTCCATGTTGTGGGTCCCATGTCACCATGCTGTGGCATCTTCTCAGGTTGTGGATGGAGGAGGTGACCTCCAGATATGGAAGGTAGCTGCGAGTATATGGAATAAGCAGTTGTAGACAGCCAACAGGGGTGCTGCCTTCCATCTTGGGGGCTAAACAGGGACCATCAACTCCTCACCATAAAAATAAAGCTTATTACAGAATGTTACATAGGGCCTCAAACTTCATGCTCTTGTGGACATGACACTGAACCTCTGGGTTCCATAAAATGTTAATGTCAGTCAGTCAGTAAGTAAGTAAGTAAGCAAGCAGTGTTGAATTACTGGATATTGCACCCGGGAAATCATTACTCACTAGGGAAAATATCCCATACCTCAAGGGGGGTGTACATTTAATTGATTGGGTGTATGGTTCAGGTGGCTGCTGAGGTTGCAGCCCCTCTCTCCCAAGCCAAGAAGATCACAATGGTGTCCAGTGGCCAAGGAGATGTAGGTGCAGCAAAATTAACTGGAGAAGTCCTTAGCATCGTCAGCAAAGTGCCAGAAGTGGTGAAGAGTCTAACAGGTGTTGACATTGCAAAGGTAATTGGCCATTCACCTACATTCACTATAAAATGAATTAAAGCAAATGTGTGACACCAAACAGTATGAATTTTACATATTTAAAAAGGGCCAAATTCAGTTTGTATTTTATGATTATCACAAGGTCTGTAGGTTTGATACACTTAAGATGTGACATTATGAGATAATTACTTGTGGGTGAAAACTCTGTGATAAGAAAAGGGTGATATTTAGAGGTGTTTGGGTTTGTGGGTTCACATCTTCTTCAAGTATTAGGGACAGCATGGATAAAAGAGATATTTTTAATCTTGGGAAGGATGCAGAAGGGAATGTTTAACGTATTCAGTTTTCCAGTAAAGATTCACACTTGGTAACTTATGTATATAAAACGGAATTACTGACTTGTAAAACTCTTTTATAATCATTTTAGAATGTGAAAATATTGATTGAATATTTTGGACAACTTGAAGCAAAATAATCTTTGTTACATAGTGAAGTTGTGTCACTAATTTTATTGTTCTGTTCTTCAGTCAGTCCATGCTGCTTGAAGATCTTTTCTGGGCTGATACTGTACCATGCTACTCCACATCCCAACAAGAAAAGAGCTGTCATCATTTAAACTAGTCATACTTCAGTATAATATTTTTACTTTTCTTAGCTTCTGCAGGAATTTATAATAGATACACTGTGTTATAGATAGCCTTTCTCCAGACATTTGAGTTTGCTACCTGTTGTCAGAATGTATTGAAGATATTGCTCTTTGCTTTTCTTATAAGATAAATATATTATGTTTTAACAGTTCTGTGATTAAAAAAGCTAATACATTCACTGCCTGCATTAGATATGGCCAGTCAATAAGTATGCTCCCCCAGTACCAATGACAGCTTTTGAAAACATTCCAGTTTGTCCTGAAGATGTGCAGTTGCCATTAAACCTTCACAGATTATAATACAATCTCTGAGGAGTTAAATTGTGTTTGAGGTTTCAGCATTTAATAGAAGTTTTAAAACTGCTTTTTTTGTGTCTGTGTTTTAACCTTGACTGCATAGCCTGTAAGATAAAACAGGTATTCAGGTGCAGGCAGTAAATGTATTGACCCTTTATGTGGGTATTTAAATGGTCTGCTGCTGTACATTAAGTGGCCTTTTAAATCTCCACCTTGGCTGTTTTGACTTAAAAACCATAGGATAGAAACCCAAAGGAACTGTATGTTTTTTATTATTAAGCAAATGCTTCAAATAAGCCAAATCATATACTGAAAGGATATTTCTCTGTTGCCTATGAATGACAATTCAAAAGAAATTCCAGGGATAATAATGACTATTATGGGCCTTAATCTATCATGAGTCTCAACTGACATTACATTGCATTCCCGGAATTCAGACTTAGCCAAAAAGAGTGTAGGGTGTGGAATATGTATGATTATGTATTAAAATATTGGATTTTATAACAGCCATGAGTTCTTATTCCAAATGTAACTTTCTTCTTCCCAATTCTTAGGATTTTGTAATCAGATAATTTTCTGCCTCCTTTATTCTTCATATAATTTCTTACTTGCCTCCAGGGGCAGCCTGGCCCTAAGAGTTGGAAGGGCTGATCCCCACCGCCATTTAATATTTCAGTGTGTAAAAGTAATCTTTTGAATTTCTGATTTATTTGCATAAAGAATACTTTAATAAATATTTTAATTGCTTACACTTTGTATGGCATAAAATGTTTCTCATATTCCTCAGAGATGTTGCTTACATTATTGGAAGTTCATGGAAGACCTTACCTTATATGCCCTAGCCTTAGCTCACATTGCCACAGAAGGTCCTTCGATGTGCATGTCAGAGGTGCCAAGCCCTATTGTTTAAAATGTTCTTGTAAGCACAGAATGTGCTTAGAATTGCTAAAAGAGTGTACTGTGTCATAAAAAAAGTAAATCCTTTAATATCATCATCATTGGCAAACGGCCATATTTGAGCCTTAGAAAATTCTACCAGATTTGTCTGTTCCCAGCTATGTGTTTTCAATCATATCGTCTTATTTTCACTTCCTCGGATTTTGCAACTGTATTTTTTTTTTTTACAGAACTAGGTCATCGACCTTTTGCATCCAACCTCCAACCTAAAGGACCAGGTCTCTGTATTTATGTACTCCAGCAATGGTGTGACTCAGTTATATCCCTAGGCACCAGGTTCCCATTTCATTGCCTTCCAGAACTCACAGGGCTGTTTTGGAGGTATTCTAACCTGCCTCCACATGGGAGAAATATTTAATATATGAACATATAAAGAACAATTTTTCCTCCCCCATAAATGTATGCATTGGAGGGGGGATTTATTTGGTCCTGGCTATACCTCTTTAGATCTTCATGAGCAGGGACTGCTTATTTTCCTTCGGCTTCAGTCCCAACCTAATGCCACTGAGTGTTTGTTTTTAGCCTACTTTCCTTATTTTGAAAAAATAAAAGGAAGCTTATGAGATCACCTTGTTGTCTTTATGTTCCCACAACATTGCTAAGCAATGGCTCGGTAATCATGTTTGCTCAGCAATGAATACACACACAACAATAGAACCATTTGACGTGGTGTTATGTATGCGGTCGGTGTTGTATCAGATTCTCAATTTATAGTGAAAGGAGAGTAGGCAATTAGTTCTTCCCCAGAACTTCTTATTACATTTCATTTTGCTTCATTTTTAATTCTGATCGGTTAATATGTTACTTATTTTTAGTTATGTTATGTGAGCTAGATACTTTATGTGATGGAATATATTTAGACATAATATGACTTTCATATATATGTATTATAAAGAAACACCTTACTGATATAGTATCTATTAAGTGAATAGCATTAATGTGTCTGTTGAAATGCAGGATCTCACAAGCAGTGGAGTTGTAAGGATACTGTTGTATTTTGTCAGAAAGTTAGTCATATTAGATGTTAGATTTTTATGGTAATTTTTACCTCTCTTATTTCCTCAGAATCAAACATTATTTTGTCAATCTGTTTTGTTCTTCAGCCAAGATATCACAGTTTCTAAGAGTTTCCTTCTGTGAGATATAAAGCTGGAAATTTTATATAAATCCCTAAGTTCTGGAATGTGCTGGGAATACCATCTGGATCATATATGAATTAAGAACAACGTATATAAGCATCAGTTCAAATCTTATTAAAATAAGCCTATTCCTTGTATTTTATATGTATACACACTGAGACAAGGTGATGTATTCTTTTAGAGCTAAATCATCATGATTGGACCATTCATGAAACTGCTGTATCAAGCAGTATAAACATACATTTGCAGAAAGTAAGAAAAATTTCTACTTTTTATGAAGAAAAAATTTGTAAGGCATGAAAAGTATTCAAAAACCTTGCTAGTTATGATAATGGAAGTTAAGACTAGAATGCTTTGCATTCTTGGAAGTAATCGTTTCCCAGTGTGTTTTAAATGTTTTTAGAAGGAAGAGAGATTAGTACACAATATGTTTGGCATTTGTTGCCTTACAAATGAACAACTTCAAAAAAAAAAAACAGTGTACTTCATGAATTTGGTCTTGTTTCTAAACGCTTTGTGTGTTTTCTAATTAAAATTGAATTCAGTAAGTTGGTTAACTCTTTCATTTTCAATGTAATAAGCACTTGAGCTGCATAGCATTTACTGTATCTGTTCTAGATTGATTAGTGTCTGCCTTTTCTCATATACCATTATAACCAATTATGCTTTTTCTTTTTATTGCAACTGGTTTATTTGTGTTTCATCTATTTGTAAGTTACCATGGTTACCATTTAATGGACACTGCTCTGTGAAATAAGCAACATAATTTGCACAGAGAAATGTTCAGTAAAGGTGGTAATGATCATTTTCTCTGACATGTAACATTGCAAAAATTAATGTAATTAGGAGCACAGTGTACGCCGATATGCCTGATGTAAGGTCTTAAGGTACTAAGTGTTTTCCAACAAATGATTCTTCCTTTAAAGATGATTTCAAGAATATTTACTGTGCCCTTTCATCACACATTATTCATTTGTTAAATACTCATACTGTGACTTGAATGTGAGGAAAGTTGTGTGCAATTGATTATCTGTGTAGGTTTATGTATTACCATTTATTACTATTTAATAATACTAATACATGAAATTGAAGCAGAAAACTATAATTTTGAATTCTGACTATTGTACATTAAACTTCTGGTTATCTTAAATTCCCATCCAATTGGCAGAATTTTGTTAGAGAACACACAATTTTTTACAAAATTATTAAAAAAGAAATTGTGAGATAAGTTCGCTCACTGTCTGTTATTCACCTTCATTCTGTTGTCATTACAGTAGATGTTAATTGAATTTGTGATTGTGTTACAGTATACTAATCCATAATTTTTCATCTGTCAGTGTTTTATGTCACCTACAAAGAACTCCATGTGAGAACCAAAAAAAAATGACTATGTGATGTGTGAATTTATATTGGGTTTATGTATATTTTCCTCATGCAACTGGCACGCGCTCTTCCCTGTACATGCCGGATCAAGGAAAGTTTACTGTATAAGGATATATTTTCATCCGTGTTTATATGTGTTGCCGTTAGTCTTTTTATTACATTATATGAACATTGTAAAGGTACCAGCCCAACATTTGCATGAGATGACTGAAGATGGTAATTTAAAGGAATTTTTGGCTGATTGTTTGATGGTTAGAATGTGCTTATAGTGAACCTCAGTGGTTGAGCAATTGATGCCAAACTATGACTTGTTCAAAAAATGTTCTAGTAAAGGTGGCAATACTTGCTTATGTAGGTAATTCATCTACACACAAACCTGTTTTCACTTCTGCAGGACTGGGATCACAGTATCTTTGTAAAGACATGCTTGTAAAATCCCATTAGTCTGGTCAGCTTTTTTTGTGCAAATGAAAAAATTGTGGTTGTATAAGGTAAAAAGGGGAAGTTGGTGTGATATAATTATGCACCATACCATGAAATATATGAGGGGATGGAGGTACAGCTCCACCATTCATGACCTCAGGACTGGATGGAGGTGAGTAGTCTGCTTCACACTCTGGTTGCTTAACCACCCAGAGAGAAAGCCCATGGTACCTATTGAACGTTGGCTGTACCCCAGAGCTGGTCTGAACTGTGTGCAGAAGAAAAAAATCTCTTGCCCCTGCCAGGAATCGAACCCTGGCCACCCAGCCTACTTCTATATGGACTGAGCTATCTATCAGCCCTCCTGTTCAGGTTGTATTTTGAACTAATTTGTGTACAGCATGTTCATTATATAAAGGAGAATCAGAAATTAAGTTGTAAATGGATATAAAACATAAAACAGGTGATATTCAAACCTGAAAAAAAAAGTTTATTTCTCTATATATCCTCCACAAACGCTTGTACACTTGTCCCATCGCTTTACCAGCGTGTCAAAACCCACAGTAAAGAAGTCTTGACTGTCATCTCAGACACTTCCACGCCTCCGTTTCAACCTCTTCGTCAGTGAAACGTTCACCCAGTTTTGAGCCGCTTTACACGATAGATGCTTCCCACTGTAAACAGGAAACATTTCTTTATGAATATCATTTGCATTGAGTCCCGTTGCCCACATAAAACACACAACAGAATGCTGCTCTTCAGTGGTATAAACCTGAAACATGGTCACCATTTTGACTACTGAAACCAACCTCTGAACATGTGCTTCTGCTGCCTAGATTGTCATGAAGCTGGACTGTACTGGTACATAGTGATACACATAGAAAACCTATTATGTCCATTACAGCTGATTTACTTCTATCTGTGACCTATTTAGTGACTCCCTTGTATATACTTCCTTATAGTAAGAATTCATTGTGAGCAAGATAAGGGTTTTGTACCAATTGACACCCATGAATGACTGTTTCCAAATGATCAGACTTTAAGTCCATGTAATTAAAACCAGTGGGAGAATACAATCAGAGACGAAAATTTCAACCATACAGTAGGTTTTCAGGTGTGATATGTAAGAGCACAGATAACTGAAATAATGTAAAACATCAAGACTGAGAATATAGCGAATCCTGGGAGGAGTAGAGAAATAAAATACAGATGGTAGAGGTGACCCAGAGCTTAATTATTGTAAGCAATATTCCATAGAGGTGACAGATGAAAATTAGGATATTGAATGATAGGGAAGGCCATGTTTGGTGTGCAGAATTCAAGTATGGACGATTCTTAAAGTTAGAAACCTATCCCAAACTCCTGTAATATTTTGTATACATTTTTCCTGTTATTTTCACACTTCGCTGTTAACTATTAGAGCATAGGGTGTCTCATCTATGATCATGACAGTGTGTATATTGGCCACAGAGTACAATACAGTTGTGGGAGCTTCCCACATTCAAACAGGCGTGACAATGCAAGATTCATTGCTTAGCAACGACGAATAAACAGCGGTTGCTAGGCAAAGCCTATAACAATACTGACAGTGACATGTTTTCTATATGTCCGACTCTAGGCTACATAAGAAGATACACTGAGTTACAGTTACGGTTCACTATTGTTATTATCCATCTGTGTAAACTGTGCAGCTGCAATAAATCCTATAGGACAGTTCAACTAGTGGTTGTCTCTTAACATGACATCCCACGTTGGTGACCCCGACTTAATTGGAAGTGCTTATGGTGAAGATCAACACACTGCAGCTTCCGCCTCTCCACTCCAGCGCTCTGTCTTCAGAATCTTCGGTTCTGCACTGGGTCAAGAATGGCTGTCCGGCGGTCTCACACCCCACTCAGTGGGCAACTCGGCGGCCTCCGACTCACCGGCGGTCATGCCCGACGCACTGGCCAACTGGCGTAGCTACCGCCTCACCACTCCAGCGACCGCGCTGCGCAAGCAAACCTTTTCCTGATCGCTTCAACAGCTGAGCAACCATCTCCGAGGGGGGGGGGTGATGTGGGAGCTTCCCACATTCAAACAAGCGTGACAACGCAAGCTTGATTGCTTAGCAACGACGAGTAAACAGCGGTTGTTAGGCCAAGCGTACAACAATACAGACAGTGACATGTTTTTTATATGTCCGACTCTATGCTACATAAGAAGATACACTGAGTTACTGTTCACTGTTGTTATTATCCGTCTGTGTATACTGTGCAGCTGCAATAAATCCTATAGGACAGTTCAACTAGTGTTGTCTCTTCATACGACATCCCACACGGTCATTGGCAGTGACATTAGTTTTCCATGAGTTGCGTTGCCGTTTCCCCAGTTTGCGGTGTTTAATTAAGTTCTACGTGATCAACTTCGTCTGACAATTTTTTTTTCAAAGTTCCGGTTGCCAGTTTGCTTTTCCTCGCCAGTGGCCACTATTAAGTCCTAAACCTCCTAAACGGCCCTAAGAGTGTAATGCCAAAATTTGGACGTATTCTGTCTCTGCTCTTCATCTGTTCGATCTGTACTCTGTGCGCTCTGTGCGTTTCGTGTTTGCAGTGATGTGCCAACATGGCGAAATTTGGGGGTATAAGGTTTGTGATTCTAACTTTACTGTCAGTATTAAATGAACGAACTAGTACCCTTTCTCTAACTCCTGCTGACAGGAGATTATATGATGACCTAAAAGCGGGTCGTGGGTTGTATAACAACGATGATAAGGTTACGGTACTGAATGTAACAAATTTTAAACAAAGTGTGTATGGAACAAGAAATGCGTGGATCATTGAATTTTACAACAGTTGGTGTGGATTTTGCCATAGATTTGCCCCCATTTGGAAGTCGTTAGCAGCTGATATATACGGTAATTTCATACACATATTTTGTCTTATAGAACAGAAAGTATGTGCTTTTTAACCAGACGTGCAAGCTAAACAGATTTCACTATGATCAGAAGTTTTGATTTTCAGATTGGTTATCCATGCATATTTGCTCCCTGTGCTATCTGGAACGGGAATACGGTACAAGTGATATCTTACCATAATGGCATTGTCTTAATTCCTCTTTGATCTGAGTTTATTATCCTGGTATTTCAAATATAATTAACCTTTTTTTTTTTTGAATGGGGGCTATCTGTTCTATTGCATTTTAACCCTGAATCATTTGTGATGTCTGCTCTTTGGGCTCTTAAAACTTAAATCCCCTGAAATAATTCTAGTGAAAGGTGATGTGGTGGGCATCCCCCTGTCTAACCTCCATGCAGCTTGTTGATAGGAGCGCCCTTATACTAGTGAAATATTCACAGAAGTGGTAAACGTTTATGGAGTATAACACCAGTGGACTTGTAATAATTCCAAAATTATTTTTAAATATCTGTTCAAAGTAGGAAGATTTTGTAAAAGATGGATAGATTATATTTTGTGATACACATAGCTGGAAAATAACAAGTATTGGGAAGGGTGATGATGTGTTACTTACATTTCTTTGAGTTGCTTATTTAACAAGGCTGTCAATATGGAAACTATATAGTAATGATTATTAATGAATGTGGTGCAGTTGGTCAAATGAGAATTGGCAGGGGAGACCAGAGTATGCAGAGAAAGCCTGTACCAATGCCACTTTGTCTAAAACAGATCCCATTGAACCTTGGCCACTATGTTGGAAACATTTGATTTTACAATGTGTATTGATTGCACTTCATTTGTTACAGGCCCAAATTATGGTCATATGTGGACTGCAGATATTAGTGTAGAAAGTACCCCTCTACTTAAACATCATGCCATTAAGACAGTATATTTAAATTTTCATTTGTACTGTTTAAGGACCAGTTTCATACTCTCTTCAGGAAATTGGTTGGTAGTATCCAATAAGTACGATAGGTAGTTTTCTATAATTTTTGTAGACATGGTAGGGTATTATTAAATCATGTCCATTCACATCAGAGCAATCATACATGTAGTAGTTTAAGAACTGAAAGTGATGCAGTCAGGCAGGTTACCTCTATGATGCAGAGTCATAAATTTCCTCTGTTCCTGCAGGTGAATTCCAAGATTGTACTGTAAAATCGATTACTTTATCCCCACTTGTTTGAACCTTTGTATGTGCCCACAATGGTGTCATTTGATGCTACATTGCCTGTGTAAATACACTGACTCCCTGGATTGGTTGATGAAGAATTCTTTCATATGGAACCCCAAGATTCAACATCTTGTTCACAAAATTCCATCATAGGATCTTACCCTGAGTCAGTCCAACCCAGATCTACTCTTCTCATCGTTTCTATAAGATTCACTTAAATACTGGCCTGCTATCAACATGATGTTTCTCAGGTTGTCCTGTGCTTAACTAATTAAGCACTGCAGGGCATGCAGTAGCATAGTTGGTTGAGGCACTATGCTACAAGCTGGAAGGTTGCAGGTTCAAGTCCCAATGAGGTCATTGGATTTTTTCAATTGACATAATCCTTCCAGCTGCACAATGGCCCTGGGGTGGACTCAGCCTCTAACAGAAATGGAATATTCTTGGGGGTAAAGGGCGGCCGGCGCATAGGGCTGACAACCTTGCCACCATCTATGAGGTGATTGTCTAGAAAATGTGGGAACCTCAACATCTCACAACCCTGTGGGCCTCCACGGCCTGTTACAGGGATACCTTTTCTTTACTTTACTTTTTATCATGAGGACATATGGAGAAGTGGATGTATAGATCCACTTATTCTTGACCTCTGCACTAGTTGGAAGTGAATGGTCAGCTTCACAGCCTGACTACCTTACCCCCTGAGAAAGTGCCCCGGTACCCTTTGGAGTGGATGCTGGGTGGGCCCCAGAACTAGTCTGGATGATGTGGAGAGGAGGAAATATCCAACTCCTTGGTCATCCAGTCTGTAGTCAGTCACTGTATTGACCGCACTATCCCAGCTCAGATTTAATAATATATTAAACATAAAGTTTTACTGGTTTAATTTCAGATTGGAAGGATGTTATAACGGTTGCAGCTGTGGATTGTGCAAATGACGATAATAATCCATTATGTCGTGAGTATGAAATAATGCACTATCCAATGTTAAAGTTCTTCCCTGCTAATTCAAAGCCTGACCATATGGGAGTTACAGTGAATAAAGGAAAAAATGTTGAAGAAATACGAACGACAGTTATTGAATTACTCAGAAAAGAACATATGGAAGGTAGAGGGGCCAGTTGGCCAAATATTACGCCATACAGAAACAGTGATATTAAGAATCTGTGGAAGCATGTTCCCAGATCAGTCAAGTTTCTCATTTTAATATTTGAGGACACTGATTCCTTCATAGGAACAGAAGTTATGTTGGATCTTCACAAGCTAGACAGAGTTCAACTGAGATGTGTGCCGAGTCAGAATGAAGCTGTCTTTAAACTAATGGGTGTGTCTACGTTTCCAAGTATGGTGGTTGTAGAGACTGATATGACAACATTTCCTCTTACTGTTACTGATAAAACACGAGAATCTTTCCGCAAAACAATAAAAACATTTCTAAGTTCAAGACACATAAGTATTCCAAAGGACGAACTGCTGAAGTCTCATGAAGCACCCCAAACTATGGAAATTGCCGATTTATTGTCATTAATGGCAGCTGAGGAAGAAAGCAAAAAAAAAATTGACATCAAGCAAATGGGGGATGTCGTTTTTTATGTAGACTTAGAGAGGGCAGTCTCTTACAGTCTGAAGCATGAGGTTCCTTCACACAAACTGATTTCAGGTGAGGCTTTCACAGCATTGAAAGATTACCTGAACATTCTTCTAAAGTATTTTCCTATGAGCAGCAGGACTATGAAAGTTTTGGACAATCTTAAAAGCAGCATACTTAAACATACAAAGGAAATAAGAGGAGAAAAAGTATTGGAATATTTAAACAAGTTTGATGATGGTGAAGACTCCGTGTTCACATCACATGACTGGATTGGTTGTAAAGGAAGCAAGCCACAATACCGTGGATATCCGTGCAGCTTGTGGACTCTGTTTCACACACTTACTGTCAATGCAGTGATTCAAAACCAGCAGTTAGACAGCCTGGAGGTCCTCAGTGCAATGCTGGGTTACATAACATATTTTTTTGGGTGTGAAGATTGTTCCAAACACTTCCAAGAGATGGCATCCAGATCAATGCATGAAGTATCAAGTCCACGAGAGAGTGTCTTGTGGCTGTGGAGAGCCCATAATGAGGCAAACAAGCGCCTGTCTGGTGACTCAACAGAGGACCCAGAACATGTCAAAATACAGTTTCCATCACACAACACATGCCTGTTGTGCAGGAACAAGGATGACAGTTGGGATGTTGATGAGGTCATTAATCATCTCAATCAGATGTATGGCAAGCAAAATATCAGCTACTTGGGTATAAAAAAGGAAAACATTCCTTCTGATGTTGAGTCAGTTTTTGCAGAAAATCTTCTTTTAAATGAAGTAGAAAAGAAACAGATTGGGTGGAATTTCAACATTTTTGACATTAGTTTGTGTGTAGTATTGTATGCTTTTTCAGCTACAATTTTAATATTAATATGTATAAAATTTGTTATGAGAAGAGGGTATCGAAAAAAGTTGTACATTCATGACATATTGGGGAAAGTGTAATTTCAGGTCATATAGACCATTGTAAACGTATTACATATTACATTATACAACGACTTGGATGCATTTATGACTATGGCACAATAGACCACTGTAGGTCGCGGTGCAAGGGCCAAGAAGGCCTACCCCTCATACATTCATTCATAGATTCATGGTTTTGTGCAGTGGATCATTAAAAGTGGGCCCTGTGAGGTTGATAATGTTAATTGTGGAGACAATGAATTCACTGCTCATAATCTGTGATTGCTGTCCAGAGTGCCTTTTTGTACATATGTTTCATGCAGATACATCACAAGTGAAAATGCCAAAGACTGAAATAATTGTATGCAGTTAGATTCCTTTAATGGTAAATTGTATTTTAGGGGTAATTCTATGTAAGGGAAAGTGCCCAAAAATTATGTTTTCTTTTAATTGGTAGAGGATATCATATGCAATATTTTATTTACTTACATACATACTTACTTACAATTATTATTTGGAAACTTGGGAAGCACTTTGCATGTTATTTAAAAATTTATAATTATTTATATCTGTGTTAGAAATCATGGATATGAAATGACTGAATTTCTGCTAACAGTATTTCCTAGAATACTTGAGATGGCTTGCAACATAGGCTTTTAATAAAAAATTATGACCCTCAGATGTGTATTGAGTACATACCAAAATACTGTCAATTGAATTCCTATTGCAGAGTTTGGCTCAGTATTTCTAGGTTACATCTAACCAGTTATCTCAAATTAGGGTACTTTTCCTGCAACTGTAACAAAATATAATTGTCAGTAGTGTTTCTCTTCAGTATACATCAGCAAAGAGTTGTTGAGCACAATGTAGATGGAAGCTACTTGCTTCTCTTTATGGTTATTTTGGAGTGCAAAATGGAAGGTGTGTAAATTAATTTTCAGTTCAGATATTATGTTTCTGGACATTATCCATCGCCTTTATCTATCTAAAGACACTTACTAGCTTACTTACTTACTTATGGAGCTGAGGCCTCCTTGAGGAGAAGCCAAATCTGCAGCTACTCAAGAATTTCCCAGCATTTTATGGAACCCGAAGATTCATTACGGTGTTCACAAGAGCCCTCCACTGGTCCCTTCCCTGAGCCAGATCAATCGAATCACTGTTGTGTTTGTTTTTCAAAACAACATTTTGGAGACTGGATAGGAGATTGAGACTAGCTCTGTTGAGTGGGCCCAACTGAGTAGGTTTAACCTGAAGATGGAGACAAAATCCAGTCTCCAAAACATTGTTTTTAAAAATAAACAGGATGGTGTTTTTGGATAAAGACAGGACAATGGATAATGTCCAGAAACATAATATTTGTACTAATATACCATAGTCACAAACATTTACATCTTATTAATTGTCTGTTGTTTGTTAGTCACAACCCTGTCTATGCTTTGACTTGGATCAGCTTCTTGTCTCTACATTCATCACCCTCCTTACCATAAGTTATTGCCACTTTTTGAATATTATAGCTTTCATTTCTCAGATCTTTGACATGGATTTTGGAAATATAGTACATTGGTAATCTGTTATCTAGAGAAACAGAGGCAAGAGGAATCCCGAATAATGATAATAAAACAAAGATAATGCAAAGTGGGCCTATTTTTAACACCCATACAATGCATCACAGACTACTCTTGCTGATGTCACAGTCAGATTTCAGCATTTGTAGTGCAGTATAATGCAGCATAATGCTGTGGTATGGGTGGATTCAGTCTTCATGTCTTCCTGTAACTGGCTGCATTCCCCAGCAGCCTAACAGAGAATGTTATGAATGTCACAAAGCAAGAAGATTCAGAAAGAAATGTAAGTTTGTTCATAGGTGTATGTGCACAGTATGAGTACGTGGTTTTATAAGTCCATAATGGATTCAACTAGTTAAAAAGAAAATTGTGAATTGAATTGTCTATACTAGATACCTGGCAGTGCATATTAAGTTTTAAGATACTCTCTGAGGCAGACATGGTATAACAATAGAGACCATTGCCTGAAGTGAGAAAACTTGCTGTTTTGCAGATATATTAAGCCATTTTAGACGTGGCAGGATGGCCTATGAAAATGCCCTCCAAAAAAGAGATAGGCTGGAATCTGTCTCTACAATGTGTTGATGCAGTTACATGGTCACAGCTATACTTGTCATTCTTATTAGAGTGATATAGAATCAGAGAAGTATGGTCAGGAATGTGAAAGAGTTTGAAGAAATATTGGACATGATCGGCACTCAAAAGGACAAAATTGAGGTTGGGAAACCACATGCAAAGAAGTATGTATATGTATTGACAGTTGGTTAGTGGGTAAAGTCCTGTATATAGTCATGTAGATATCTTTAAGGTGAATGTTGTTATATTGTTAATGTAGTTAATTCTTAATCCTCATTTTTTAAGAGGATTCCACTGATTGCAATTTTATTTCACTCTTCTTGTACATCCCAATAATCACAGTGAATGTGTGAATAGGATGGAGACGAAGCATGAAGATTTTGTCATTAGCCTTATATACAGTATCGGGGCAGCTCTAATAGAAAATTCAGTGAATTTACTTTTTTAAACATGCTCTGAGAAGATGATGAGTTGAAAGTAAAATACTGTAGCGTGTTTGGGTGTGTCACGCTACAAATAAGTTTACGCCATGGTATTTGATATAGCGAATTTATTCCACTCGCTCACCTTACACACCTTACAGTCATTAGCTCTTGCAGTGTTACAATTACTGCTTACAATATCTCGGCAATACTGGACTGTCTTCTTCAGCGGTTGGATCCAGACTAACTGTGCGAATGCATTCAACCCCGTTTTATAACCTTGGTCGCTGCTATGCAAACGAACCCTCTGTTATAACCGTGGAGACTCCTGTTAGAACTACAGTAGAGTGATTGTTGTTTCCTATGCAACGGTCTATTCTAGCGTTTCCATAGAAGTGACTCTTCTGGATTTCAGACACGTTACAATATTAATTCTTTAATTAGAATGCACTAAAACTAACCAGTATAAGTGACTGAGATTTGAGTTCCTAACCATAACAAAGTTATGAATTTGTTGCATATTTATATATTTATTTTGATCTTTTATATAGTAAAAATGGACACAGTTTTGTTGTTAACTTAAACATAATGTAGCTTTACAAATTTCAACATATGTACAAATTTAATGTCATATGTAATCAGCATGTAGCTGTGACAGCAGAGTCAGACATTCCAAGTTTTGAAGAGTTCTGTCTTCTTAGATATAACAACTTATAGTCTGTTGAAAGTCAACTGACATTTTGGAAGAACATGTCACTTCCATCTCCAGGGTTGAAGGGTAAGCCAGACAAGCCAAAATTACATTGTATGTGATCAATTATATATAGTGATATTCTATTAGTACTTGCCTTGAAATCAGTAAAACTGATTTATGTTTGTCCTGTATAAATCCAGTTCAAATGGGTATGGCCAAAGAAGGATGAAATTTCTTCCACTTACATGGGTCTCAAGTGTATGAAGACTTGTTATTACATTCCTGTTGCTACTTTGCAATATTAATACAGACAATGAATGACTGATTCAGGCCTCTGTTATAGTAGTTGGTATTACTTGTTGATGGTTAGATGGATGGATAACACGAGGTCTGTTACATAACTTCTGTTATTTTGTATGTTAAAATTCGTTTGTAATATATTGGAGCTGCAGAATTTGTGAACATATTATTTGGGAAAGCGAGACATTTAATTAAAAACTCCAGAGATTTAAAACACTTGTGTGAAAATTCACTTTCAAAATGAGCCTGTTACTACTTCAAAGTTGGTAATGGTGTTGTCTTATTAGTGGTATATGTGGGGCAATCCAAAAGTTTCCGAAATTAGAATTTTGCGCGCGAATGGTCATGACTACATCGAAATACCGCTAGGTGTCTCCTCACACATCCTTCTTGAATCAGTATGGCAAGCGGCAACTTACAACTGGTATAAGCGTTTTAAAAATGGCCGAACATTGACTGATGATGACGATCGTTCGGGACGGCCGTCAACGGGCAAAACACCAGAAAATGTCGCGAAAGTTAAGGATCTGATTCTGTAAGATCATAGATTGACCATCCAAGGCCTCTGTAACACCTTGGGACTAAGTTATGGTACATGTCAACGAATTTTGTCAGAGGAACTGAACATGAGGAGGATTGCAGCGAAGTTTGTGCCACGACTGCTGCAAAATGAACAGAAGCAGCATCACTTGGAAGTCTGCAGGCAACTTCAGCAACAGCTTCCAGAGGATCCAAACTTTCTTTCGAAGGTTGTCACTGGTGACGAAAGTTGGGTTTATGGCTATGACCCTGAAAGCAAACAGCAATCATCGCGATGGAAGAGCCCTTCTTCACCTCGGCCAAAAAAAGCTCGACAAGTCAAGAGCAACATTAAGTCCATGTTGATTTGTGTTTTTGATACTGACGGGATTGTTCATAAGGAGTTCGTCCCTCCTGGTCAGACAGTCAATAATGAGTTCTATTACGATGTTCTAAGGTGTTTGAGGGAGAACGTGAGAAAACGTCCAGAGAAGTGGCGCACGAACGACTGGGTGCTCCACCATGACAACACATGACCGCATACGGCTTACATTGTGCAGGAATTTTTGGCTAAAAAGATGGCAGTTGTTCCCCACCCACCATACTCGCCAGACTTAGCTCCATGCGACTTCTTTCTCTTTACCCCCAGATGAAAATCAAGTTGAAGGGGTGAAGACTTGATAAAAGTTGAGGAAATTCAAGCGGAAATGCAGACGGTACTAAACACCCTAACAAAGAAAGACTTCCAGGATGCATTTGAAACGTGGCAGAAACACTGGGATCGGTGTATGCGCTCCCAAAGGGACTACTTTGAAGGTGATGGTGCAGAATAAGGTCTAGGTAAGATGTAATAGTTTTTATTAATATATTTCGGGAACTTTTGGATTGCACCATGTATATCTTTGAAGTATAGGAACATTTTTAAAGTTGTTGACGAGTTCACGGCTCTGTGCTTCACCACTACTTCTGCATTGCCGACTGTGAAGCACATGCAAATTTTGCTGATTACTCAGCATGCTTGATGGCCAGTAAGGTTCATGCATGTGAGTTTGTCTGTGATTTGTCAGTAGCAGTGCCATGAGCTATTTGTTTCCAGTTAACAGTCAGCAGTGTGGCACAACATGGTTTGCAATACTTTAGAGCCATGTGTATTTCTGTATGACACCTATGTGAAATACAGATTTCCTGGAAAGTGTCAGCAAAAATTTTGATGTAAATTTTGTGATGAAAGAGTTCCCAGCACACAAACAATTCATAATCTGGTGTTTACTGAGAAGTTAGATGACATAGGGGCCAAGCTTGAACATACATGTAGAAAATCACTGAAACTTCCAGCTCAGGAGGCTGGAGTGTGAAAGTCTAGTGCAAGAATGGCAACACAATTGTTGCAGCCATCCAGTGAAAGTTTGTGTCTGGTGTGCTATAAGTGCAAGGATTGTTGTGTGTTTTTTAACAAAATGGGTAATTGCAAAAGATATTTACGTGTAGAGAGACAGCGTTTTCAACTGCTCCTGAGATCTGTGAACAGAGGTAAAAACATCCCTTCATTCCAAATGATATTGGAATGCTGAGTCATTGGCAAAATTTTCATGTGCTTCGCAGCTGGTGGAATGCTAGTCATGATGAAGTGGAGAGCCATGAATGTGCCAAAAATCACTGGACATGTAAGGTGTATTCAGGATGCAGATATTTTTATACTTTAGAAATTTGAGAGTTTCACAAGAATAGTGTTGATAAAGATCTCTGACCTGTGGAACTGTTATTTTAGTCATCTTGTAATTTTAAAAAATATGGGTATCATTAACAGGTGAATGCACTGAAAAATATTTTAACAAGAAATATTTTTATTTCCTTGTTGATCTGCAACATTGATGCCATGTGGATTTTTTAAATTTTTTATATATATTTTACATAACTTCATATTTATTTAAAATAATAGTTACTGGTCATTACTGATTTCTTATATTGTATGTGTTAACATTCCATTTTGTAAATGCAGGGAGTGATTTTCTTATGTTGTATAATCCTGATTGTGTTGTTGAAGATATAATAGGAAACTGCATTTCCTACCAGTTTTACCTTTGACCCTGGTATAGGTATTGTTAAAAATATGTTTGGGAAGACTTAAGAATGAACATCAAAGCAGACATTGGCTGCATATGATTAACATCATTTCATGATGAATATTTTAGTCATTGTATTACTGGTTCTGGAAGGTATGCAGGGTATATGGTGATTTCATCCATGTGCATCAGAGAGAAAGGGATGATTTTATCTAAGGCATTAATGATACTGTTCATTCCAAAAGGTACCTCACTACACTGTCATTCTTAAAGTGGCTATGCCAGTTCTGATTCTGATGCATACTGTATGTCAGAATGTCTAGGATGAGAAGGCAAAACTCCATTTACTCTTAACCTCACATCATATATTCACACCCTGTTACTTCATCCCTGAGAAAAAAGAAAATCACTAGTACCAAATGGACAGGAGGCAGGGTGTGCACAGAAATTGGTCTGGATGTTGTGTGAAGAGTATAGTCCTTGCTGTTGCTAGGAATTGAACATTAATTATCCATTTTGTACCCAGTGGCTACACAGACTAAGCTGACAGATTAATATTAAAATGGATTTTAGAGGAAGTTATTACTTAACAGATTTTCTTTGTCAGCTGAATGACAGTGTAGTTACACTGGTTTCCTTCCCCTTCAGAAGGAAAAGATGTACAAAATACCATATAGAGATTCAGTGCATGGGGGCAAGGTAGATGAAGTGGGTCTGTTACAGAAAATACAAATTCAAGGGGGAAGTTTTTTGATTGAATATGCAAGGAACAATTGTATGGAATGATAAAAGGTTCAGATAATCTGCAGTTTGGTGATCATATATGTTGAGATTATTATGATATTATTTATTACTTCCTTCTCTTCTCTTACATTGTACTAAATATGCACCCCCTGTACCTCCTGAATTAAATTAAATCTGCATTCCCCTACCAGTTTATGTATGGTGCTCATATGTTTCATGTACTTAATCACATAAATGTTCACCTTTCCCATGTTAGAATTGAGTGTTTTCTGTGCTATATGAATACTGTCAGTCTACTTCCATGGTTGTGATCAGACAGGTATTAATGAAGTAATCCTCTGTCTGTTGAATTTTACATAAAGCAAGTGCTTAAAATTAAATAAATATATTCTAAATGGAAATGTATAATGAATATATGATCAATAATAAATCTTGGAAGTGTTCCATGTAATTAAATTATTGTTTTCATATTCTTGCATTGTTAGCAACATCCAAATTGTTTGGCCATGGGAGCATTTGGTTTCAGATATGAATTCTGTTGATTTAATGAAGCTTTCTTATTATTAAGAGATTTCAGGTTTTGATGGTGAAAATTTAGTTTTTTGTCTTCTGGGTTATGATACTGTGTAGCCTTGTAGGTGGTTACAAACTTCAATGGATGTAGCATGTTCCTGTGAAATTCTGGCAAAACAACCACTCACACAACACAGTGCTATAACCCATAAGGTATGGTAAATGTTGCCCTATGTTTAACTAATTATGCACTAAGAGAAGATGTATGGGGGAGTAGATGCATAGATCAGTGTATTCTTGACCTAAGTACTAATTGGTGAGTGGTCAGCTTCATGCCCTGGCCGTTTTAACCAGACTATAACTTATTGGGCATATTTTATTTCAGTTCAGAATTGTTCACATGAACTCTCTTTCACATGAAAGCATATATGCATTTTTAATTGTATTTTGTTAATATGAATAATAAAAAGTAACTTAAAAGGAAATCTAGAGTGAAAAAATAAGACACTGACCTATAGGACCACAATGTAAATATTTTGTTATTGCCTGCTCTGCTCTGGTGTTCATGAAGTCCAGGTTCAATCCCCAGCTATATCAGCTAGCAATGTGTTCACACATCATAGCTTTTGCTACTTCAGAACCTGTGATGAATCACACTGATCTGGAAAGCATATCATTTACTGGCCATTGCCCTTGCTGTTCTGCCCATGCAACTTCTTTTCCAACAAATGCCACATATGCAGTGTTACTTAGGGAGATGGTCCCCCTAAATCAGACAGTTAAAATCAGTAGAGCTATTTTGAGAATACTGCCATATTGTGTCTTGGGTCTCTATTTTTTGGAGCTAGAATGTTCTATTCAACGGGCACCAAGCTATGACAAAGTCTTAAACCAACTAAACATTCTGTGGGACTGAAAGTGTAAATCTGTAAAAACCATGAGCTCAGTTTTCACCATCATACCTTTGCATCTATACTTTTTTTCATATTCAAGGATGCTGAAGATGTCAAAATCTGAAGATTGATTTTTTTTGCCATTACAGAATTTCCACATAGTACATATATTAGAGATTAAAAAAAAAATTACTTGCTAGAGCATTTGATGAACACTGAGTTGCGAGTGAAGACAACAGTGGTCCTAACCACTTCAAGATGGGAGTAAAAAACAAATTAGCACATACCATATTATGTCTATTACCACAGGATACACTGATTGGTTGCTTAACTTCACTGCAGTACAGTTCAATTAATATGCTAGAAGCGTGGGGGGGGCTATCCTCTCTCAACAAGCTGAAAATGGGAATCAAAGTAGACCTCAAAAGTGATGATCCCACTATTAGAAGTACTCAGGGACTCATGCTGGTATTATTAAATTCATGCCAAAAGGAACTTTATGAATACCATTAAAATCGATTTAGACTATACAGGTGGTTCGCCAGTGAAAATAAGGACAGGTATTCATGACTGAATTAAAATACTAACAATACTATGAAAGGAATAGGTTCATAAGTGACTTTAATGATTAAATTACGTCAATAATGAAATTACAGACACTTTTACTTAATATATTTCTATTCAAATCTAACCCTTCAGCTTCAAAATTCTTAACAATATAGGAAGTCAGAAATGCTTGCTCAGTTACTACATTGCTCCTAGTGACACTATTTTTTAAAAGAGCACAAACTCCAGTACACTGAATTCAAGCTTTTATTGCATACGAAGCTACAAAATATGCTCTATCTTTGGAATAATATTGCATATATCAACAGTGGTGCTACTATTAATCATTCCAAAATGAACAAGTTCCTCACAAAACTGCTTAATCTTCAGATTCCTTCCATGTCTTCGGTCGAGGTTTTGTAAGGGTCCAATCATGACGGGAACCACGAAGGGACCCATACATTTGAAGCGGAATATCATCAGGGAAAATCTCCCAGCCTTCCTCCAACGAAGCTTTCTTCACAATTGCCAGAAAACCAAGGAAGAGAGAAGCAGTAAAGCCAGAAAAAATGCTTTTCCTCCAAGCACCAAAAACTCCACCTGCTGCACAAGCCCCCAGGAAGTAATTCAGCCTGTCATCTTTACGTCTCACGGAAGTTGCAATACAAGTCGTAGCTGTAAATGCTGCTGCCATTCCAATAAACGGGAAAGTAAAATGTGCAAATCTTGCTGCAGTTGGATATAGACCCTGAGTATGTGAATATAAACGTACATCAATAGCAGACACAACCAACCCAGACACAGCAGCAATCTTTGTAGTATACCACAACTTTTTAAAACAATCTTCTCCATCTGGTGTATCGTAATAACTGTAACCCATTCTTATTTCCTTATAATACCTCAAAACTATATCTTTACTATATTTTACTAGTGATTATAAATTTACTCCAGAAACAACACAAATTCTTTTTATGACGCCATTTTTGCCATATCGAAGACGAATCCAAGTTGACGACTCTTCGTTGCAGTGTCTTCGCTGAAACATGCTTGGAATGAAATTTCCCACCAATAGGCAGTACTGCTAATACAAATCTCGCTTGCGTATTTGGCATGGATCTTACATGAAGGTTTGCTATTTCGATGCTATTTGTTTGCATTTTGTATCGGGATTCAGTAGCTTTTGCCGCATTCAGTTCTTTTAGTGTATTTCACAATGTGATTGATATCTTCTGCATTTATAAATGCGCAAGCGACTGCAACTACCTTTGGCCAATGAGTGTAATTAAAATTGTATAGAGAAGAAATATGCATACTCGGTCGTGTGATCGCAAGTTCCGTTCCGTAGCTGTCGTTCGTCCTTTCCTGACCTTCCTGACGGACTCTAGAATTTGTAGATTACAGGTCTGAAATTGGTATCAGAAAGTGATGCAGAGTGATGCAAAAGAAGAAGAAAAAGAAAAAGTTCTGTTGTAGCACTCTTTCCGTTGACGTTCATTCGTACAGTTAAACATTTCGCATTTCTTCAAAATCGCCGCCGTGTGAAATTTAAAAAATTAACATTACACGTATCTCTTATTTCCTTTTGTAGACATCTTGTGGATGGTCCAGTAGATGGAAGATAGCGCAAGAAGCTCAGATTTTCTGTAAATATTCTTTCGTCTGCTAGTTTGTGATAAAGTAAACTTAAATTTTTCTACCAGCTTCAAAGAATATGTATTTATTGTGCGTCTGAACATTATTCATCATCCGTTTTTCATATAAAACAACTTTTCGGAGACTGGATTCTGTCTCCGTCTTAAGGTGAACCCTATTCAGTTTGGCTCAAACGAGAGAGCTAGTCCTTATTTCCGAAAACCAGCACCAACACAAGATAGTATGTATCTATTGATTGGGCTCAACTGTGTAGTTTCTACCAGATTACAGAGACAGAATCCAGACTCCGAAACGATGTATGTTTTAAATAAAAAGAGGACGATGGACAATGTCCGGAAGCAATAATTGTATTAATATGCTATACCCACAAATATTGAAATCTTATTCCAAGAAGACGATGGGCTACTAGTTGGTATAATGGACGTGATGTAAAGAACTCAGTTCTATAGGCATGCTGCCACATTGTCATTTTCTTTTGTTTCAAAGTAATTTCCTTTCAATCGATCCTATATTAGTGCGAATTTTAAAATCAAGATTGAAGCTATTTTCGCCGTATTTGCAGGTAACTATTGTAGAGGATGACCTTACGATGATTTTGATTGCCTCAGGTATTACGTCTATTCATTACTACTTGTACGTAATAATCTGTAATAGTTCTTAACAAGTAAACGATTTTCTTGGATCATAAATAGCTCTCGATTTAGGCACTGCATTTTTACACATGTTTTATTAATAATTTATTCATAGGTTATTTGGCGAATTTACTGTTGAGTCAATTAGGAATAAGGTCAAATTCAAATAATGAGCAGGTTAGGTTGCAGAAGACGAGAGTGGCTTCTTTTTGGGTACTGTCCTTCTCCAGAGACTGATGGTGAAGCCTCAATATAATCTTAATGATCATCATCGTCGTCTTCCCAGCACTGTCATCGTAGCCTCTTATTTATCCAGAGCTTTATGCTTAAGCTGACTGAGTCCAAGAAATTACCGCATTTACGCATGTATAGGCCGCACATTTTTTGCCAAAAATTCAAGAGGAAAACTGGGGTGCGGCTTATATTCGAAATATTCGAAATCACACTTCATAAAAAAAATTATATTCATAATTAGTAATACAGGGTGTTCTGCTCCTGAAATAATATTCCAAGAAAATTATTTTTTCTATAATTTCTGTCTGAAAATTGTGCTGCGGCCTATACATGCACGCGGCCTATACATGCGTAAATACGGTAGATGCCTCGAATTCTCATGTAGTCATTCATTGTCCCTTATCTCTTCATGTCGTAGAAGACAGTCATGTTCAAATCATAATTTGTGTTATTTTATTTGATTTCTTACCGCATACAATACCGAAAGACGCCATCCTATTGCTTTATGTAGAAGTGGTGCAAATCTTTCAGTTTGAAAATGTCGGCGTTTGTTCTACGTTCGTAACTCATATTCTACAAGCATAAATCTCCAAAAACTTTCATAGAACAATACATCCAGACACTTGATGTAGTTACTACAGGCTCCATTATTTGAATATAAATAATAATAATAATAATAATATATTTATTAATATTGTTAATTGCAGTCAGTTTAATAAAGATGAACTGAAGTTCTGATTTCGCATTTTCTTAGAGACACTGATCTTCATTCATTCATTCATTCATCTGTGATCTATGAATTGAAATAAGGCCAATTGTATCAGTTTATGATTTTATGAAACGCGTTAGAAAGTCAGCTTCACGCCCAGTAAATCATTAAAGGTCGCGGTGCAAGGTCCAGCAGTTAGGTCCATTCCTTATGTACGCAGAAAGTCAGTTTCGTATGTAACTGGTTCTTTCTTCTATTCATTGATTTCACTTGCCACGGTTTCATAACTATTTCACCGAGATACATGAATTGTATGTGATCTTGGTTTCGTTAAACCGCACCCAGTTCACGTATGCCGGGGCTGCGTTTGCAAAGCAAGTATCGTATAAGACCAGTCAACAATTTGAGAACGTACTTCAGTGCCTAGGCGCTTTTGATCAATTGTGGAGAAAGGAAGTTGTACTGTCGCCATATTGAAATCGTTTTGGTGTTGGAATTGTTTCTCTTTGTGCCGCTAGTAGTCAGGTTTTTAAGCCCTGAATAAGTTAAGGTAAGAACTTAAAAATTATTTGTACAACAGTTATGTTATGCAATAAATACATTACAGTCAGACGTCGTGTGTTCGTGATGTCGGAGTTACTCTGAACTAAAAGCGGGTTTTCGCACATGGAGCTTGTTTCGTTTGTTCGATAATTTGCAGAAAGTCGTTCTAAGGTTTGTCATTCATGGGTTCCATTTGTTTTATTATGTTAGGGATAAGAACAACATGGTATTTTGAAATCGTTTATTGTTAACTCGAAAATATTAGGAGTACCGTTTTTGGATCAAGAATTTTCTCTTCTCCAAAGCGTCCAGACTGGCTCTGGGGTCCACCAGACCTCCTATCCAATGGGTACCGGGGGCTTTTTCCCCTGGAGTAAAGCGGCAGGGGCGTGAAGCTGACCACTCACCTCCAGCTAGTGCCGAGGTCAAGAAAATGTGGATCTATACATCCACTCCCTCATACGCTTTCATGGCGTAGTGATTGATTGATTTATTTCGTCACTGTAGATCATTGTACATGATATATGACAAGTCAAGTTAATTCTGAATATTAACAATTTGATATATAAGTAGATTAAAATTACAATAGTTACAATTTTTTACATTCTTATTTGTGGAGAATTTGATGGAATGAACATTGGCAGGGGAAACCGAAAGTACTCGGAGGAAACCTGCCCCAGCGCCATTTTGTCCATCACAAATCCCACTTGCTCAGATCACAGTGGTGGGAAGCCAGCGACTAATTGCTAAAGCTATGGCGTGGCCTTAGAATAATGATATTGCTTAATTAGTTGAGCACCGTTTTTAGATCAGAGTATTGCCCCTAGTGGGGATGTGCGTTGGGTGTGTGGCATGTAATAGGTCACAGTTTTTCGAAAATGGATTGTAGGTTCGTTTTATTTTCAGACCTGGGAACTTATAAAAAAATATAAGTAAACTTAAAGTATTTTTACCTTACAAAATGGAAGGGCAAGTTGGAGGCCACGGATAAATTGCGTTGGTTTGCTGTTTATTGTTCATTTATTTAAAATTCAAGCAGATCCAGTTACAGGTTGAGAAGTATATTCACAAACCACTGGATATAGAATGAGTCACATATCAGAACAAATGTTCCAATTAATCATTGGAACAAGTCCAGGCAGCATAATGTAAAATATGCATAACATAGAACACAGATAAACATGATTACAAAAATTGAATGCAAATGAGCATATTAACCATTTATACAATAAAATTCCTGCAGTCTGTAAAAACAGTGGAACATCAGATATCTTCTTAAGGACCGCTTAAAATTTTTAGGCATCTGTACAAGCTCTTTTAATTCAAGTGGCAATTTATTAACATTTTAATACCAGTGTAGTAAACACCATTTTGATACAATAATAGAGAAGAAGTAAGAAAATATAAATTTTCACAATGTCTGGTCTGTACATTTTTCCTATCTTAATTAGTAACAAAAGGATTCCTATTCTTTAGAACAAACAACAGGACTGAAAAAATATATTGAGATTTTAATGGTAAAATCTCTAACTGTCCAAGAAGATCCCTACATGAGGTCCTACTTCCATATCCTGTCATTAAATGAACAACTCTTTTTTGTAACATAAAAAGTTTTTTGCTGTTCTGTAGATTGACCCCAGAATATAATACCATAAGATAATATAGAATGAAGTAAGGAGTAATAATTCATTATCAGTGATGAAAGAGAGTAGGCAGTCCAGAGAAAACTAATGCATGTAAGTTTCAATTTCATGTCGAATCTTCCCACTAACAAGGTGTATGTTTTTGCACAGAAGGAATGAAAAAGTGTATTTTTATGTGCACTTGCCTATGCACATATGAGGTGCATTATGGTCTCTTACACAGTTGTACAGGGTTTGTATTTCCTAGGGACAAAGTGGCAAGGGCGTGAAGCTGACCACTGACCTCAATCATGTGCCAAGGTCAAGAATGTTAGATCTATACCTCCACTCACTATATGACTTATGGTGTGGTGTTTAAGCACAAGGAAATCTGTACCATTATTTCAACATTACATATTACTAGAGGGGCCTTGAGAAAGGCTTTCATCATTCCACTATTGCCCCATAATCATCTTTTGCTGCCCTGTGTAGTGTTTAATGGGCCAGGTGGCATATTATCCTATGTTCTTCAAGTTTGTGCATCATTTCTGACCTGGCATTTGACTGGCTGCAGAATAGGGAAGTTCATTTAATAAAGAGGAGATGAACATCTCTGCAACTGATCTTAACTACCAATTTCATTAAAATCTGTCACTTGTAAAGATGTGTTGGTTCTGGTCTTAGATGACTGTGTTGGTATCAGGCAGAGATCTTCATAGAGTTTTGATTCTTATCATGTTTAATTGCCAGCCATTTCAGTTCTCTGTCCGTATATTTCTTCCTTCCATCCATGAATCCTTGTGACTTGTTTTTGGTCTCTGTAGAGAGTAACTAAAGTAAAGCTATCCCTGTAATAGGCTGTGAAGGCCCATAGGGGTGTGTGATGTTGAGGGTCCCACATTATCTAGACAATCGTGCCTGTTTAAAATGTTACTGCCTTATTATAATGTGAGCCATTTAGTGCTGGGTAAATTTCCTCTTACAAGGATCATTCATCCTGCTACATTACCTTGTAATGGAAGTTCTGTCCTTGTTGAGTACATGATTTTAGTGTGTGACTTACTTATGTAATATTTCCAGTATTTGCAGAAAGTGGTGACCTCCAACATTCAGGCATATTTCAAACCAATGTAAGTTGTTTGATTTGAAGTTAACTATAAATTATTTGTGGAATAGCGTTTTGGATTTGGATCCGTAAAGCTTCCAAGTTATTTCCGTAAACATGCTGCTTTATGTTTCCTGGAATTAAGAATCACACATTCAGATCCAGGGATTATGATGGTTATATTCATCCCTCCATGTACTATCCATGAAATTTGTGGATATATTCATGAGTAGAGTTCTTTCTTCTGATTATATTCTGAGCAATACTCATGACTTAAGTACTGTATCTGACCATGGACATAATATGAAGAGTGTTCACAAGAGAAAATCTACAGTGATACATGGAAATGAAATATGTACTCGGTTGTGGAAGAGCTCATGTGGGGACCTCATTCACTTTATATATGACTGCATTCTGACATTGAGTTGCTAAGCAAATTACCAGACATGATTTTAAAACTATCAGATCACTGCTGTTTGTGTTGTTCCAGTCTTTCTTTAAGGCGAATCCACTGCATTATTTTCTGATCTCTGCTAAGTGTTGTTATAGTCATGTCTTGTTTTACATGAGTCTCCACTGGGTGGAGTGTGCTTAATGGTCAGCATGTGTTTCATGTGGATTCTCTTATGTTTGAAGGTAATTGTAAAAGAGCAATCTGTTTCTTTCAGGTTGTGCTTAAAGGAACTGAGAACATCCAGATTCAGTAAGTAAGGGCTTGAAATATACTGAACTGACCTGCATTTATGTATTAGCCCACTGGAACCCACTCTGAAGTATCTTAATTAAGTCCCTATTCACATATTCTGTTTCTTTAAGGTCTGTTACTTTACTATGCAGAATATTTCGTTTTGTCTAAAAAATGTAAAAATCGAAATGTATAATTGGAAAATGTAAGAACTGTAATTTTACTGGTTTTGTGTAGATGTGAAGGTCACCACAAAATAAAAAACATGGAGCCTGTGGATCCGTGTATTGAGAATATTTCTCTGAGAGAGAAAAAAATAACTAAGCAAGAGAAAACTGCATAATGATAAACTTAGTAATCTGCAATCTTTACCAGATATTAGGGTGAATTTATTGGTAAACTGAAAATACTAGTATTTGAATCGTATTTGTTATAGGCTATCCAGTTTCAGAGAAAATCATTCTTTATTGGAAACAAAAGATGCTTGCTTGTTCATGACCTCCTCCGTAACTTATATTAATGGACTGTGTTAATGTTCCACAGTTTTTTGTCATAGTAACCCAGAATTGCTTAAATTCTGTTTCTCTGAGAGTAACACCTTGGTGGAGCGGATATTTTTAATGGAGGGTAACATTAATGCCTATTAATATGAAACTGACTCTACAGAATTTCGTATCATCATTCACGTGAATGGTGTCGATCATGTAGAGCTATTGTGACTGACAACAAGTAATTTTCATTTGTATTAATGTTTAGTTTAATTATATGCTTAAAAATTTTCCAATATATGGTGTAGGTGCACAAAATGAAATGGTTGTGCATGCATATTTGTGGGAGGTTTGCCTATTCCTTCCCCCCCCCCCTTCTCCTAGATATCTGAGAGTACTTATAAGAGAGGTTATTCCTCTTAATAGTAGTAATGTGTAAGAAATAATTCATGTTGAAAAGCCAGCATTCATCTTGATAGGGTATTTGATATGTACATTTTTGTGATAGGTGTAGTTTCTCTTAATAATTTTTTCAACCCCCTAAATACAATCCGATAAACTGTTGTATACTGCACTGGCATAAAGTAACATTCAACACAAAACCTTTAGGTACGAAAATTTTGTGATCAAGGAGTAGTGCCGATGAGTGGAAGAATTCTAGGCTGGGGCAATGTGCAGAATCATCATCATCATCATCATCATCAGTAATCTGTCAAGACGACAGGTCCACAGTCTCTCTCAAAACAATTCCTCCACTTAATGCGATCTAGAGCTTTCTCCTTCAAATGACAGTATCCTCTTCTGTCCCCAAGGTCATCCAGCATCTTCTTACGTCTTCTTCCTCGTCTTCTTGTCACTTCTATCCGCCCATCTATCTTTCCTTCGATAGCTTCTTTTAGAAGGCAGTTTCTGCGTAAAACATGACCAATCCAATTAGCCTTCCGTTTTCTTATTTCATGTAGGATATTCCTCTGCTCACTGACTCTAATTAACACTTCTTCATTTCTCACATAATCGGTCCAACTGATCTTCTCCATTCTTCTCCAACACCACATTTCGAAACTTTCCAGATGTTTCTGATCTACTGCCCTAAGTGTCCATGTTTCAGCCCCATACAGAGCTATGCTCCAAATGTAGCATTTCACTAGTTTCTTCCTCAAATTTAAGTCCAATTTGCTGGTAAAAAGATTCTTCTTCTTGCTAAATGCAGCTTTTGCCATGGCAATCCTGGATTTAATTTCACAAGTACACCTTCCATCATCTGTTAACAAGCTACCCAAATATTTAAAACATTTCACATTCTCCACTTGTTTTTGGTCTATCTTTATTGTGACTGGGGTTGGTTGTCTCGAAATTTTCATTACTTTTGTTTTCTCCACATTCATTTCCATGCCATAGCACCTTCCAATTTCAATTAGTCTATCAATCATGCCCTGTAGCACAGTTTCTTCCTTAGCCATTAACACAAGGTCATCTGCATATTTCACAGTTTGAATAATTTGCCCTCCTACTTTGAAGTCACCGAGCCCATCCAGAGCTTCCTTGGTAAGGCATTCGCTGTACAAGTTGAACAGAATTGGTGATAAACAGCATCCTTGTCGAACTCCTCTTCCAATCTGCACACTTCCTGTCTCCCCCCTGTCCAGTCGTACTCTAACTTTCTGATCCATGTACAATTTGCTAATCAATCTTCTTTCATGCCAATCGATACCTGTTTCTTTCAGGATCTGCATTAATTTGGTCCAGTTTACCCGGTCAAATGCCTTCTGCCAGTCTATGAAGCAAACACACAGTTCTTCATCTATCTCCAAAGTTCGTTCCGCTATAATTCTCATCATCCCAATTGCATCCCTGGTTCCTTTTCCTCTTCTAAATCCAAACTGATCTTCTCCAAGTACATCCTCTATTTTCCTTTCAATTCTTCTTTTAAGTATCTTTGCTATTATCTTTGCTGTATGTGCAATAAGACTTATTGTGCGATGGTCGCTGCATTTTGTAGCTTTTGTCTTTTTCTTTAAGGCAATCATTGTAACTTCTGTAAAGTCCTTGGGCCACTCTCCACTTTCATATATGGTGTTCATTAGTTTTGTCAGTGTTTTCAAACCACCTTCTCCCAGTAATGTGCAGAATAGACAAAAAGAAATTGCGTCAGAATGGAATAACATCATCAGCTCACATCGAATTTCCATGTGATACATGTTTGTTGAAATGTTTGGAAAAAGGAGTTTACATCTATGCAGCCCAACAAATCCACTGACAATTTAATCACAAGTGATAACTGAAGGCACTGTAGTGTCTCTGCTATTGATTAAAAATACACCATTTGATTCATATGTTATATGAGCCGGGATAGCCCACTTGGTATAGTGGCTGGCTATGGGCCTGACCGGAGTTCGATTTCCGGCGTGTGCAGAGACTTCGCTTGCCACTGTGTCAAGAGCCCATGAAGCTCTCCGCTAGGTTGGTATCAGTTCTTTCTTTCTTTGGGGGTAAAGTGGCCAGGGCGTGAGATTCGATCTCTACAAGGCCAGGTTAAGAATCTGAGTAATAACTGTCGTTGGCCGCGCCATAGCTCAAGTGGTTAGTCGCTGGCTTCCCACCGCGGCGGCCCGGGTTCGATCCCGGTTCTGGTCAAGTGGGCTTTGTGGTGGACAAAGTGGCGCTGGGGCAGGTTTCTCCGAGTACTTCGGTTTCCCATGCCAATCTTCATTCCACCAGTTGCTTCACAATCACCCTCACCTATCATCTGGGGCTGGTGCAATAGGCCAAAAGTGGCCGCAGTACAAGGGATTTAGTCCCACCCAACTAGCAATAAAAAATATATATATATCTGTCGTTATAGCAGCGGGTTATAGACTGGGCGACAGGGGTTCGGTTCCCGGCAGGGGCAAGATTTTTCCCTTCACAGCGTCCAGGTCTTGGTCTCGCGAACCCTCCTATCCATTGGGTACCAGGGGATATTTCCTCTGGACCAAAGCTGTCGGAGCATGAAGCTGACCGCTTGCCTTCATCTGTTGCCGAGGTCACGAATGGTGGAGCTATACCTCCACTCCCCATATGTCTTCATGGAATAGTGGTCATAGTGCTTAATTAGGTAAGCAGCGGAGCAACTCTTTTACTTACGCAGTTAGTTGAGGCACTATGCTACAAGCCGCAAGGTCGCAGGTTTGATTCCCCATGAAGTCATTGAATTTTTCAGTTGACCTAATCCTTCCTTTCCACCCATGGCCTTAGGGTCGACTCTGCCTCTAACAGAAATGAGTACCAGGAATGATACTGGGGGTAAAGGGTGGCCGGCGCGTAAGGCTGACACCTCATCGCCGTCTGTGAGCCGACTGTCCAGAAAATGTGGGAGCCTCGATGTCTCAAAACCTATGGGCCTCCACGGCCTATTACAAGGATAGCATATACATATTGTTTACATAGGTGGCAAGCGGTAGTTGGTTGAGGCACTATGCTATAAGCTAGAAGGTCGCGGATTCAGTTACTGATGTCAGTGGATTTTTCATTTGATCAGATCCCTCTCGCCTCTCTATATCCCCGGGGTCTGCTCAGCATCTAACAGATGTACGAGTATACCAAGAATCATCATGGGGGTGAAGGGCGGCCGGCGCGTAAAGCTGACAGCCTCATCGCCATTTGTGAGCCGATCGTCTAGAAAATGTGGGGGCGTCGACGTCTCATAAATCTATGGGCCCACGGCCAGTTTCAGGGATAGCTTTATCCATATATATGAATTTCGGAGAAGGTATTTTTAAATAGTAGTTGTTTTGTGGATTTTCGAACTTCATTTAGGAAGGCCATTTTTCTGAGGTAGCCTATTCCAACAATTTATTTATACGATTCTTACTTTTCCACCTGTTAAGAGACGAGCCGATAAATAAAACAAAAAAACCGGTCTGGGCGTGACTGGCGATCGGCTTAGCTCCGTGTCCCGCGCGGTAAACAAAGCGTTGCCGGGACTACTGTTGCCATCACAAAGGAAATGACTGACAGTACCGATCGTTGCCATTTACAGTTGTGTCCATTCCTGAAAAATGGGTCACGGGTGGTTTATGCTTTTGATGAGGGAGCGATGTTATATTTGAAGAGTTTGGTCGGCAGGGATATAACGCCGTGTAGTCCGCTGAAAGTCAGCCGACGTTTGGGAGGAACATGTCGCCTCCGTCTTCAGGTTCGAAGAATAAGCCAAGCAAGAAAGAAGCGTGAAGGAGGTAGTAAGACGGTTCCTCCGAAACGTCGATTGACTTTCAACAGACTGCACGGTGTTATATCCCAGAAGATAGAACTCTTCATAACCACCGCTGTGAGAACCTCAAATTCTGTATGATTCTATAATGAGTATGGAGCAGTTGGTGGAAAGAAGGTATTGGCGAGAACCCAACACAGTTGTTTTGTCCACCATAAATCCCACATGACCTGACCTAGGATCGAATTCGTGCCGCCGAGTTGGGATGCATGCCCTTCTGCGTTAAATTGAAACTATCAGTCGTAACGAGAATGCTTTTACGTACTGACACACATGCTGTC